GCTGATCTCAAACTAACAGTTATTTCCCCCGGGCTAAAAATAAACTCGTGCTGATTTTATTATTGAGGCAATGTATAATTTTGTTCATTGTTCAGATCATTGTTCAGATCATTGTTCTCGTATTCCTGATTAGGCGAGATTGCAAGAGTCTTTCTCTGCTCTTATGCTCAGACCCATTGTTCATTAAATCATCTCAAGAAGAACACCAATCTTGGAATAGCTCTACCTCATTGGTGACACATACTTGGATACAGCATTAAAGTTTGATTCTATACAGTAAAGGTCTATGGGACTTTGGTTAAAGGGCCTGTAGAAAGCGCTTAAGGTGTAAAATTAACATTCAATTCAGTCACAGAGACACTGAATCTCTCAGTTGTTAACCAAGAGAATACAACTACTGTACAACAGCAACTACTTCAACCACTACTACAAAAAATAACACAGTATATCCAATGGCATTTACGTTTGTCTAAAGGAATTGAGTAACTGAGTCCATTTGTAACTACTTAACTGGCTCATGTAGCATTTTAGCCAGGTACCATAGACTTCAGTCCAAATAGCCAAAATATCACCTTTCCTAATACAAAAATGGAATGCTTTAAAGGACCCATATAACACTATTTTTTGATCTATGTTATAATGTTTTCTCATCACAAACATACCTGGAGTTGTGTTTTGTTTTACTCACACATAAAAAAATATAAAATCATGTAAGCATAGTGGTTGTATAATTCTGTAGAGAATAATTAGGATGCATTGTATTAGTTCTTCATGTTTTTTAGATGGTAGAAATCAGGAAGACTACAGCACATTTAAACAATGGTTAAAAAAAAAGCTGACAATATGGTATGGGGGACTATATAACTGTTACCATTTAAGATTTAATATAGCTGCAAACACAAGTGCAAACATAGTGAATAAAGATCTGTATCTTTATTGGGGTTTACTGCCAAATAAACAGGTTTATTAGCTGCTGTTTCATCTCCTCTAATCCTTACCACTCGATTGTTGCCAGTCAAAATTCAATTATTTTGTCAGGGTTATGGGCCTGTCATGGCAGAGTATTTTAATAAAGCTCTGACGCTAGATAAAAGACTAATTGTCAGTGAGCATGTGATAACACTGTCGTATTTATTCCTTCCTTAATTAAGTCTATGAGACTGAGTGACTCGACCATACATCCTTGTGCCTTTATAATTCCAGATTATCAGTTGGTATTCCAAACTGACATGTCTGTTTCCCATCACAGCGACAGTTAGTGGCCCTCCTGGAGCTGCAGGCAAATGTCACTGGGGACCCCTGAGAGGCTTTGTTGGTTACATCAACAGATAACGTGGCACTGATTGTGGTTCTTGTGTCAGAGCATGCTGAGATGCCCATGGATCACTTTCAGAGCCATAAAAAGATAAAAGGCTATGCTTATTTAAACATCCTATATTACACAAAATTGACACCTGTAAACTTGAACCCATATTAGTTCTTGTTACCTCCTCAAAAACATACTTGGAGTTGTGTTTTGTTTCATTCACGTATCTTTAAGTAATTATTAGTCTGCCTGTATCTTCAAAACTCAAATTGCTACCTTTTGCATTTAGATTCTTCAAAACTGACATGGGATGTATGAGTTGAATCAGTACAAAACAGCTCTGGGGTAATGGTCTAATCAAGTCTAGCGCTAACTTATGACCTGTGGTTCTTGTATACATGCATTAAAAGGCACTGTCAGATTAAGTAAGTCACCAGTATATTGTTGTTACTTGCAGCGTTCATTTCCATATTTCACACTCTTTAGACTGTGAGCAGATGGTAGCCCTGCAGGGACAAGTGGATATTTTATACAGACTTTCAAAATTCAAACTCCAACTTTATTTAGAATGTAAGTCAAGTCTTTGTACTAATTAGATATGTCAACTGCTCATGTGTAAATCCATCATTTTCTTGTCTTATTACAGTAGCAATAGATCCCACACTGGAAAAAGATCTAATATAACAAACTTAATGTGTCATCACTCTTTGTCACTTGTTTGCAGTGATGTGAAGAATACTTTGAAAATGTATTTAGTTACCGAATACTGACTACCCGAATTAAAATATCTCCGATGCATGGTCCAATCAGAGTAGTGTATTTTTACACAAAGTTGCATTTAAATTATAGTATAAAGAACCAACATAGGATTAAAAAAAGCTTTATATTTGTTTCACAATGTGCATTTCCTCTCACTAACCTGGAGAAAGGAAAATCACACATACACACACTATAAGAGTGATGTTTTCTATTTTTCCTTACTGATTATGTGCAGTTTGAAGCCTGATGTGTGTGATCAAATAATGTCATGTTTTCCAAAAGTAACTGTATTCTGAATATTACCAAATGATAAAGTAACTGTACTGAAATATAGTCAAAATTAGTATTCAGAATACGTATTCTAGGTATAACACCCCCTGTTTGTCATTGTTAACAGTGTGAATAACTCTTATCTGAATAATCTTCTGTATTAAAGCTTCACAATGAAAGCATAGCCTGATTTGAATGGTCAGTACACAATATTGTGTCTCTCCACTCTGTCCTTACACCTCCAGGACAGTCTTCATGTCCCCCCATGCTCCTGCTCAGCCGTGCCTCTATGTTCGCCCTTGTCTCTCACACTTGGCCTTGTGCCTGCAGTCAGATCTCTCGGTAAATGGCTGTTTGGTTCTTGGGCCCAGGAGAGAGCTCACTGATGTGACGTTGTGTCATCTCTATCCCATCCCAGTGACTCAGCCAGGCCCGCGTGCCCCAGCCTGTCATCCTCCCCTGCCCGGGATGTTCAGTTTGGCAGCTCACAGCCTCCCCACCCCCTCACAGCTCTTAGCGCTAGTCACACCTTATCTCCCCTAGGAACTACTTTAGACAAGTTCACTATTCTCATTTTGTTAGTTTGTTCACCCATTCACTGTTATACAAATATACAAACATAGCATGAAGTGTCACTAGGTTTACTACAGTAATGTGGGACGACAGCTGCTTGGAGGCACTGACAGCCCCATACCGAAAAGAAGAGATAAACTTTAAAATATGGGTTAAGAATAAGATGCGAGTAATGCGATGTGGCTCTGATAGTGTTAGCCTTGAGATCCTATGAATTATTCAGATATTATTTTTATTAATATTATCATTATCATAAGCTTTAAATGCCAGTTCAAAAACCTTCTATGTGGTATGTGATTGAGTCATTATGTTGTGTGGTATTTATAATGTATACATGCCGTACTGAATTACTGTGATGCAAGAGTCAAGGCTACAAGAAATAAACATTCCAAAGATCTCGCCAGTGTGTACTACCTTCAGCTTCACCACTCTCATCCACAAGTCTGAATGCATATGAAGCATCATGCGTTAACGGTGAAGCTCATTCATCTTTGATAAGACAGGACCCGGCCAACTACTTTCTTTCTGCATGGACCTCCGGAGATCATGAACATTACCCTCTTTACTCAAAACACATTTAAAGTTGAAATAACAACTGTAAACAAACAATAGGTGTCTCTTTTCACAGAGATATGGTTTCTTTTAGAACCCCAGATATCAAGAAGAATGCAATGAATTTTGATGGAAAAACAAAAACTAATCTATAGAATAATTGTAATAATCAAAGAAGTCACATTGGGAAAACTGAAAACTGCATGGATTAGAGCGATATGACAAATTAAATTATCAAATTTTTTCCACATACTGATCGATCAAATTTCAATAACGTTTTTAAACAAGTATTCCCTGCTTTTCCATATAGGAATGCATATTTCTATCTGTATCTGGTAGAAATATGCATTTCTGAATGGAAATAGATTCATAGAAGCCTCACGTAACATGCCATAGGTGTCATGTATGTGTCCATGTTTTTCTTTAAGGTCACTGGAGAGAAGAGGGAGTTTGTTTAGCTCCAGAGCAGACGAGAGTGGTCACTGGTCAGGGTGAGACACACCGCTGAGACTGTGATGGATGCAGTGCCTCTGGATGACGGCGCGGGTCTTTTACCGGCAGCAATCCAGCACCAGAGCCTCATCAGGCACTCACTCTCTCACTCTATACCCACTCTGTATTCACTCTGTATTCACTCTGTACTGTCTCTATACTGACTCTATATTGACTCTATACTCACTCTATAATCAGAAACAGTATGGCTTGTCCATTGTGGAGACACAGCTCATAGATTTCATGATACACAGGTTAATCCACAGAATGAATATATGTGCACCAAAAACATGAAGTGCCTTTTCTGATTGTAATAAGAAAATCAGTTATAGATAGTTTTAACATCTTATTGTTCAAGGTAAAGTTAAAGTGAAACCATGTAACTTTCTGGTGGTGGCACGTCACCTATGATTGCATAGAAATAGAAAAAATACTTCTGAACATTTTCTATGGGGACAGATATGTTTTATGCCACACAGTAGAATACTATGATCAAAAGAACAGCATTTTCATGGAGACAAGTGTAAGGAGGCCCTCTTCCAAAATCTTCAACAGTTTGTGGAGATGCAAGCCTATTCACAATAAGGATGCATGATGATGTTTTTCTAAGTTTTTAGTGCAGTAACATCAAATATGAAAAGTTTTTGTGTTTTTGCAAATTAAAGTTACAAATGGGCATTTAAGTGATGTTTCTAATGTTATTTTGTGGTTGGTAGATATAAAAGTTCAGCTTAAAGTATATATATTATAGTTTAACAAGTTAGCAAAATTGTCATGCACATAGAATTATCAGGAAGAAAGGATTTCAGATTGATTTTTCACTGTGCAGTAGTGTCTGTTTGCACTAACAGGCTCTGTGAAGTAAATGGTCACGAAACATTCAAATCATGTCCAATCATCAGTTTGCTGCACTATTCCACATTTTGCAGGATCTTCTTTGATTGAAAATTGCTGTGAAATACCACCAAAGATGGAATGCTTTTACATGTGTCACAGTGAGAGCGATAATGGCCTGTGTCGTTTCCAGTGTCATGGTGACATCACTGACCTTTCTTGGTGCACTGGATGGATCGGTATTCATCAGATGAAGCTTGACTTTTCTTATTCAACTAAACAATGATTCATGACCCGAGCAGCACGCAGCCCTCCGGGACAGACCCGCTCTCTGCTCTGATCCATACTCTGTAACAGGGAGAGCAGCCACATTAGCAATATCTAATATGACATGTGAAGGTTTCAAAGCATATTCTTATGCATAAGAAGTTTGAAAGTTCTCCACAATGAAAGACCTTCACAATGGAATAAGACAAGAACTATTTGTGGTTTACTCTGTAACTAATGCTCAAAGACTATAAACTAACTTTATCTAGAACTTTATACTGTTTATTTGGTGTAGAATTATTGAAACGCTTAAAGGTGGTTACATGTCCAAACTCTCTTTGCATCAAGACATGAAAACAATAGTTGGACAGGGAAAGCTGTCATAAATCAGTTAAAGTGATTTCCTGCCCGCTGTACTGCACATGTCAGCTCTTCTGACACCTAAGCTGGTAATACCCCTCAATTTATGTCCTTCAGACACTACTGTGGAGCAAGTCATGTTCAGATCATCACATAGTGGTTTCCTGCTCGCTGACACCTTTTTATTGACTGACCGGTACACGCTGCGCTGCTCTGACAGACACAGAGGAGAGCTATCCTATGAATGCATATGCACGGTGGTCCGACAGTCCATCTGTCATTCAGACGCTGTGCTGACAGTGAAGGGGAGCTGGCAAGAATGAGGAAAATGAGCTAGGTCTGAATTGGAGCTAAGATATTATCCAGAGAGCGAGGACATGCAGCCGGCCTGAAGCCAAACTTCAACCAGTCTCCAATGAGTGGGGACGTGTGACAAGTGAAAGAGTGGCTGGGAGCTCTGTGTCAACACAGCGAGGGGGAGTGACAAAACGAGCAGATGGGAAAAGAGGTTTGAGGATTTGGGAAGCAAAACTACTTTTCTTTAGTCATCCACATGGTCCATTCCAGACACATGGAACCTGACTCAGGAGAAAAGCGGCGCTACATACAAGTGTGTGCAGGTTGTATGTTCTAAGAAGCATGGCTAAAACTATGCTCAATTACATTCAGCCTTTACAGGTTGAGTGTGAATGAGTTCTTTCACGTTTTAAAGGTGATTTCTGGCATAGTCAGAGCTCTCTCAGACACATAATCACAAAAAAGAATAAGAAGTAACCCTTTAGCTGTCTAACCTCTATATTGTATCTTTGCTGGTCTCTATGGAAATGTTATTGCTTTGCCTGGAATGTTCGACAGAACAGCATTCATTCTCCACAGACCTTACCTATAACTTGGCTGTGACTTTTCTTGTCTCCATGGAAATAGATGCATTTACTGCCATACTGTGTAACAAGCAATAAAATGTCAATAAAGACACCGGTGGACATTCCATACTAGTAGCTTTACGTGCTACTAAAGTGTCTTAAGTATTAAAATGGTACAACACATTTACATTTCAAATATTGTACCTAGCTAATTATACCTGTGGTGTACTACCATGTTTTGTGTAGTCAGCTGTGAAGCTGCATTTGTAGTATTTCTGTAAAGAGTACATGCATGTGAGACACCCTTTCTCCTCTAATCTTTTTACATGTTTAATAATAGAGAGATATTCACTTCCCTTGGATGACCTTAATCACATTATTACTGCGGCTATAGACTCATTAATAGGCCTGCATTAAGTCATTCAGCGATGACAATTCTTCTCAGCTCCAACTTCCTGAATGAAATAATTATTTAAATCAAATAAAACCATAAGAAACTGTACACTGAATAGCAGTAGTGTTTAGTTTGATATGTCTTCAAAGGGGATTGGTTTAGATCAAGGTAGAAATTGAAAAAATACTATTAAACAATCTTCAGTAGGATTAGTGCTAGTGAAGCATTTACAACCCCCTTCAATAGAGGAAAGAAATAAAACCCAGCATGAGAATGTTTTATTTTCCATTAGAAATGCTGGAGAGTAAACACCAGGTAGTGATAAATGCATACCTTGGGAATAGCCAATCCGTTAGCACACATTTTACATTCTCTGTGAAGAAGCGGCCTGAACCAGCTCCTGATGAAACCGTCTCACTGCAGCTCATCCATCATAGTTTTCCACAAGATTCTAAATGTCCTAAGATCTAGACAAACGAACAAAAAGTAGCATAAATCCTCTTCTCATCTCAACCTTGCGTCTTGTGGGAGCTAGGGCTATGGTGGCTGCCAGTTTTGCAGCTGAATCTACTGTGAGCAAAAATGTTGACAAAGCTTGAGATTGTTTACAGCACAACATTGTCTCTAAGTCCTGAATAAGTAGGCAAATATGAGAAATGTGTCTGAGAGTTTTTCGTTGGCAGTAATAGACACAACTCCTCAGTGATATGAGATGAGATATGATATGATATATGATATGATATGTGTCTCTATTTGCTCTAAAAATGATGAATAAATGGTTTGCATTACAAGAAGCATGTCAAATATGCTAGTCCCAAGCTGTGAAACATAGCTTCTGCTATTGGTCCTACACTTTCTCTATGACAGATTTGTCCCTGTGCATAGCCAGACTTTGCAGTGCTTGATACTTTATAGTACTTTATTGTCCCTGTAGAGAAACTGTTCTCTGCTTTTCTCCCATCCTTTCAGGAGCAGTGGGAACAGCACCTGGGAGCCCATCTCCATGATCTTGTTGCTTGGCTTGGCCAGCCTTAGCTGAAGGATTTTTACCTACCTATGGTGTATGTTTTTAGGTTGAATGGAGGAAACCCACCCAGCCACAGGGAGAACATGCAAACTCCACACAGAAAGGCCCGGGCAACCAAGGGATCAAACTCAGAACATTCTTGCTGTGAGGTGTAAGTGCTATCCACTCAGCTACCATGCCACAAAACTGTTTAACAGATTTTGATTTAAAGTTTTACATTACTGCATTTTTAATGTGTTTTTACATTTTTGTTTGAGGTTAACTTGTAAAGTGCAATATAATGGAAAAAATAGTTACAGTATTTAAAACATTGCAAAGTTTTTCTATGTAGACTACTTATTTCAAAGCAGTCATTTTCCTCATAAAACCATATTTAAATTGTATGCACATTTTTAACAGTATTTTTACTTGTGTACAAATCTTCCATCCAATGAATCTGTCAAACCAAATATTATAGGTGCTCTGTGTAACTTTTGTGGTGGAGGGTTTGACAGTTGCTAGTCTTTATGGTGATGATATTGCTTTATCTTGAATATTTCATAGTATGATATTAAACTTAATCTTTACATTCAGTACAATTACATGTGTTTTTATTGCTCATAAGTTCAACAAAAAAGCATGCATTCATAGTGTAAGCAGGGTAAAATCTCCACAGATCTGACCTGTAACCTGGGCTGGTGGCATTACTTGCCTGTTACCATGAAAATAAATATGCTTAATGGTGCATTGTGTAACTTTTCTGGTTGAGGGTCTGCCACCTACTTTTCTCCACAGAGATGTTATTGCTTTGTCTGAAATGTTTCGCAGTATGGCATTAAACCTTTCTATCACCATGGAGACCAAACCAGGCCAAATAACTAGTCAGAACTGTGGAAAGGCACAGTTAGAATGCCTGATTTTCTAGGTATTTTTGAGCAATAATACCAAAACATTTTATAAATGTAACACAGACCTGTTTAATCTTGTATTGTGGAACATTAGAAGGACAGCAATGACAAATCCATAGAAACAAGATGGTGATGGAACCCCAACCAAAAAATTACATAGTGCACCTTTAATGTCATACTGTGGAACATACCAGGCAAAGCAATAACATATTCATGGAGACAAGCTGGTGGTTACACAATGTACCTTTAATTATCAAAACTGACCACATTGTTATTTGTGTCCATTTAAAGTAAAGGGACATTAATTTTCCATTAGAGGTTATACAAGTAATCATCTGGAGCATCTCAAGCAAGTGTCTGCTCGATCTCTTGACCATAAATACGGCAATATTTAATAGAAGCTTTTGTTCAAAACAGACAGTACATTTCCTAATAAATATAGGAAGTTTACTATGAGCGCCTAATGTGTTTGGTGGAGGAGTCTTACCGGAGAGTAGGTGGTGAGGTCTGTTCTTGGTGCTTCATCACGTCCTGGACAGATTGCTCTCCTCCTCTGGCGCCTGCGGAGAGGCCCTGATGACCGCAGTGACATCATCCTGCGGGGGGCCATGGGCTTTTAAGGGCCATTGTGTGTGGACTCACTTGTGATGAGCTAAAAGGCTTGGGAAAGAAAAACGAGAAATTCAAGAAGACTACAAAGCGATGTTTTATTCAATGGATCTTTCTGCAAAATCAGACTGTACAGAATATGTGTGGTGACATACAAAGATTCATTAAATGTAAAAAAGTAGACTAGAGGACTAAAAGGTCAATGATCAAAACATTTAAGAACCATCTTTTGTCTGTAAGCTGTGAAAATAGCTGTGAAAATAGTCAAGAATGAGCCATAGCATATTTTTTGATTAGGTTTCTATGGGAACTCTGACAACAATGAGAAGTCCTTGGTGACCCGATCCACCATTCCCCTCTACAATGTGAACTTTTAACTTCCCAACAAACAACCAACAAAAAGGTTTTGTGTTAAAAAATGGAAGCCTTCAATGAGAAAGATACTCAAGATACTCTGCAAACCACAAAGCACTGGGGGAGCCAGATTTTATAGTCACACTATTGAATGTGAAAAATAGATGCCGATTTATTTGGTTGTATTTTTAATCATTAAGACTGGAAAGCTTCTATTCTCTTTGTGCCACCCCCATCTCAAGGTAAAACAGGAGCTTGAGCCAGATGCAAAATAGGTGCACATACTGAGTCAATACGCTAGGGCTACATTTTGAAATCAAATTGAGGGGCAGCTTATCGTAAGATACCACTTTCTGGTCAATAAACAGGAAGGTGCAATGGGAATTTAATACCAGTTATTACATCTTGTTCTGGAATTAGGACTGATGTTCTGATTTATTTAATGTGAGTGAATCTGTGTGTTGATGGGTAATATTCAGCACTTACTTGGTCATAATTCAACATGAGATTTGAAAGAGTCCATCTTTAAATGAAACATTGATTTTTAATTGAACTCGAACTAAATAACGGTAATCAAAATCAAATTAAGTATAAGTAAAATATTTCTACTGTTAATGTAGACCCATTATCTCCCATTTACCAACAAGAGACCACAGACTTGTATAAAAAGAACACGCAAACTGCTTACCTGGATCACTTAAGAAACACAAGACAGAAAAAGATCTTCATTCTTAAAACAATTTATTTTTTATAATAAATCATTTAAAATTCTGTCCCATGCCAGTAGTAAAAATAGTAATACTTTGATCATCTTTAAGACACATATTGTGCCAAAGATTACTCCAGAGGAATAAAGTGGAATGTTGTTTATCTGACTGACTGCAAGTGAGAAAGCTGAGTTCAAAACACACATGCACAATATATGCGCTTTCATCTAGTCAACTGCATCATCAGCTTGTACCTTAACAATGTATGCCGAACCCAAACAGAAATCAAAGCAACCATTGGGATAAGCAAAGCATATCAAAAGGAATTCATATAGACAGTTGGATTTTTTTCTCTTATTAAAACAGGTTAAAAGACGCAATGGAAGCTATTATGTGGGGAACTTTGCATCGGCGTCTGCAGGTGTCATGGTGAAATAGCTCACATGTTGGAATTTGAGCACCTCATTTCCCCAGCTGGTCCACCCTGGGTGAAGATTTCGGGCAAAAAGTTCCAAGCACTTTGCACTGGGTCTGATGTAGGGCTTCAGTACCTCTGGAAAAAAAAAATGCACAAACTAACATGACAAAACGCTTTTGATGGACATACATTAGATTAGCTTTGTTTTGCTTTATTGGTTGCCAGGTTTTACTTAAAGTCAGCTAGCCAAGGAATTGTCAAATTGCTTTACATTTTTCCTAGTTTGACAAAGGTACCGGTTGTCCCTCCTGTAAAATTGTATATTGTGACAGCCTTAGTTCTGTGATGTATATACTTAAAATTAATCATTTAACATAACAATTTGACTTAATAGTACTTCTTAAATTCCATGTTAATATCACAGAGAAATTAGATAAAAGAGACAGCATAGTTGGATCTCACTTAAGCAGCCTTTATGTCAAATTCCATAGACCTCTGTCTCACAGCCAGCATAAAGAATGAAGAGGAAGAAGAGAAATGCGTGTGCAATAGTGTAGTTCCTCCCCATAGTACACACACAGCTCATCTGTGGACAGACTGATGACCTTGTAGAGTTCCTGTTCCGCTCCCCTGCCCCTCGGCTGCCCCAACCCGTCTCACTCCCACCACAGGGAAGTCACTGAGCTCCAAATCACATCCCCTACTTAACCAACACATTGTGGTCCTGTGCCTCTCCTTCACAGATTAAACAAAACATAAATAAAATGATTCCACTTGGCCAACTGGAAAGTGTAGCAAAATGTAAAGTGTAGCTTCAGGTTGTTGGGGAAAATAATTGTCATTGTGATTATGTAAGACCAACTATTGGGAAATCTATTTAAAAGGTGCACGGCTCAACTTTTCTGGTGTGGGTCCGCTACCTATTTGTCTCCATGGAGATTGCTTTGCCTGGAATGCTCCATGGTATGACATTAAACATATACATCTAGAACTTCTTCATTACAGGTTTTAGTATTGCTCAAAAATACAACAATTCTTTGTGTGAATAGGGCTGACTCTCCAGCCAAACATTCCAGACAAAGTAATAATATTTCCATGGAAAAAGGCAGATGACTGACCCTTCACTAAAAATGTTACTAGAAATGTTATGCAGTGCACCTTTAAATCAAGCTTTGAATTGACATTTTATTGACATATTAATATATTTTAGTTTGGCCAAGACTAGGAAATGGGCACGTCATGATTATCCATTTCAGTTCTAGAGCCTCATTTTAGGGGTTATAGAGCTTGATGTTACCCAAAAAACAAACAAAAAATACTAGGAAAAAAGGATACTTGAGCTGCTGAAGTACAATATGATGGAAATGCCCTGACAAAGGTGACTGTTGTGAAGGTCATGTGATACAATACTCCTTGAAAATCTTTAATTGTTCAAATTTAGAAGTGATTAATGAATAAAAGTTGGCTTTGGAGTCAGTTTTCTTCCCTGAGTTGTAAGAGTTGGGTCACTGGTCACCTCCCGCACCCCTCCTCCCCTTGTAATATTTCTAGCTCCAGCGCAATTATCACGTTGCATGAGTACAGTGGCAGATGTGAGCAACACCCATTGACTGAGCTTTCCTGCCTGCTAATAATAAAAGGTCAAAAAGACACTGCTCACATGTTTCTTTATTAATGCAGGTGGAGAAACAAAGGCATACACACAAACTGTATGCTAATCTACTTAATCTCTATGGCACCAAAGCCCCACATCTGGCATCATTATGGATCTAATCAATGCATTTTGAACAATATCCGTCCAAAAGGTGGACACTTCCTGTGCTGCTGAAAGGACACGGGCACAGGCTGTGTTTGGCTCTCTAAACTACACAATAAACTACATTCCCCAGAAATGACGTCAAAGTCTCGCCTTCATCAAAGTAACTGCATATTCACGGTCTATGTCTGTATTTATAATGCCCAATGCTTCAGACACTGGTTAACAAAGTTTTGCTTTAATTATTACATGTCAAATAATTCATGGGTCAAGTTTTCTATTTCTTTTATCATAAATGGACTTGACAGAAAACCGCACATCAAAGTGCAAATGTATGTACAATTATATTAAAGAAAGTACATTGAGTCTAACAACTAAATTTGATTATTTTACATGTTTAACTACTGGAATAGTGTGAAGGAAGCATCTTGCAGAAGCACAAACATGGTACAGCTCTGCCCTCTGGTGGTTTTTTAAATAAAATCTTCTTTATTTTCTGTGGTTGGTATAAGTACATACCTAGTCCGCTCTAGGCAAGTCTAGTCATTCAAGATACCTGAAAGTTGGGGCTTTTGGGAGTGAAGAGTTGATGGCACACTGACTATTAAACGATGATCCTCTATCAATATTGACTCACTGGACGTACTACAAACCACAAGAGAAAAAAGTCAATTTCCCACTTCCCAAAGCAATACCCAAGATAAATACTTGTTTTTACCTTTCTGATCTATTTCCAGTAAAGGAAAATCGTCCAAGAACTAAGACTTCATATGTTTTTTTGTGTTTCGAATCCAGTGGAAAAACAAACTGTCCTGATGTGGTGACCTGGCAAACACAAGTAAAACCAGTAAATGATGCATAATGTGTAACTTTTTGACATGTCTACTGTTCACACCTTTACCCACAACCATTCAGCCAAAACCTCTACCCCCCAGTGTGGGTAAAGCTCATCACGGACAAATCGGAGGTGGCTAGGTCGGTTTGTTACCCATGTGACTATTAGGCAGTCTGAGGATGCCAAAAGAGGAACAGGCAAATTTTTCAACTGAGATGATGGCAAAGCATTGTACCTGGGAGAGGAAAATCAGCATGAAAACAGTCAAATGTTTATCGTTTGTCTTCTTTTTAAACTTACCTGCGACTTCTTTTAACAGACTTGTTTTCCCATGGTGGATCAATGACTATCAAGTCAAACTTTGCTCCATCTGTATAGCAACAAAAACAAAAAAAACTTTATGTAAAAAGATTTACCAATAAGTCATTATTGTCAACCAGATCATTTGGTTTTACACAGAATTTAGATTTTTGCAATCTTTTGAAAATCCATACTCACAGCTCACAAGTGGCTGAACTCTGGTGAAGTCCGAAAGGAGGAAAGCAGACTGGGCTGGTATCACATATTCCTCTCCCAACAGAGTCACCACGGCAGCGGTGTCTGACCTGTTTTCTGTCACCCTGGAGAACAAATCCAGATGAAACGTAGAGCTCCCTTCAAGTGCTTGAGCAACAGTGTCTTGCTTCTCAATATCCACAAGAGGGAGCTGTTTAGCCATTTCACACAGGTCACTTAAGGCACATTCAGGCAAAGTACCAAGATCTTGTGTGCATTCTTCAGGGGTGTTCAGATAACCACATGCCCTGGCCGAATTCACCAAAGCCAAAGTGCCCTCCAGTATAACTGACCTAACCTGCAAAAACGTATATCAAACATCAATCGATTAGAAATTCTGTTTTCGCCAGGCTAACCATTTCTCACCTTATCATGAAATGCTTTGATATCGATTTCCCCTTGGTTGAGTTCTGTGCATTTCCGCTTCCTCTTCTAAAAAAAAAAAAAAAAAAAAAAAAAAAAAAAAAAGAATTACATTTTCAGTACTATAAATGGTCAGCTGATGAACATTTATTATAATCCATTTTGATAATACAAAGTTCACAAGCTAGGAACTTGCTTATAATGCAACATAAAAAAGAATAATAATATAAATAATGATAAAATAAAAATAAGGCCAGTTCAAGTAGATTAATTACAGCTGTTTAAAGAGACAGTAACTGGTGTTATAAAGTGACAGGAGTGTTCATAAGTCCAGCAGTAAAGAAACTGTTCTTGAGACAAGAAGTTCTGGCCCAAATGGACCCTAGCATTCTGCCAGAGGGGAGTGTTCAGGGTAAAGTATAATGTATAAGGTACATAAGTAAAGTACCTTTGTTACCTTCAGCTGAATTCTTTTTCAAGGACAGCCCTAACACCAAAGGATTGATTGTATTTAATTGATCTCCATTAGCTATCAGCTATTCTTCCTGGAGACCTACGTAGCATGTTTTGGGAGAATTCCATCCATCTGCTGTGACCTGTCCCCTGGACAGTGAACATACACCCACTCTCCAAAACTACAAAGTCAAAAAAGAGCTGCTTCACATCAACTGCAATAAAGTTACAGGACCTGATGAAGTGACAGGTAGGGTACTAAAGGCATGTGCTCATCAGCTTGCCACAGTATTCACAAACATTTTCAACCTGTCACCACATAAGGCTACTGTTCCCAGCCCTTTTAAATCAGCCACCATTATACCAATACCTAAAACCTCAGCTGTCATCTGCATGAATGATTACCGATCAGTTGCTCTCACTGTGGCAATCATGAAATGGTTTGAGAAGCTAGTTCTGTGTCACATTAAATCATGCATGCATTTCCCCAAATTTGGACAGGCATCAATATGCATACAGAGCAAATCGATCCACAGACAATGCCATCTGCACTGTACTGCATGCTGCTCTTATGCACCTGGAAGCGCCCAACATCTATGCCAGGATGCTATTCTGTCATGCTGGAGTTTAGTCCAAAAGTCCTTTATCCAGACTACATTTTATGTCCTAATAGGTGACTTTTGGATACCTTTTATTACTGGTTCAATTATTTTTCATTGTTTAATACTTGAGTAATTCTAAGTGATCTGAGAGACACGATTGTCAACAATAAAATATCCCCATTAATGTTCAATAATGGTCAAATCCATCTTTTTTGGGGTTTACGAATAATTTCTATTCACTTGGGTCCGGAAAGTTGTGACTTTTAAAATATGGGTCCAAAGAAAAAAAGTGAGCAAAGGGAAACACTGGTCTAACTGATATACCACCTAACTCGGAAAGTGATATATCACTGTTTATCTGAATTAAGTCTTGAATCCAACTTATTTTCAATAAGGGGGTGGGGGGGCTTTTACCCTAATAGATCCATGCTTTTACCTTATCATGTCTAGTGCTGATAACGTCGACATTCCCCGCGCGCCCAGCTTCACCTTTGTCGCTCACATGACTTCGCTCGGTTTGAAAACACTGACTTTTAAAGGTACATGTGACGAGTGTCTTGTGTCCTCCTGTCCCCCAGATGCAGCGGGAGTAGCTCTGGGCGAAGAGGGAGCGCGCATCCAACACCCAGCCCGAAGCGTTCTGGGCCACCACGGCCATTATAACAGCTTCTGTGCCCTGTGCTGGTGTTGTGGTGTTGTCCCACACATCTACGGGGCGCATGCTCACCATCCACGCTCTGTCATCTTCTTCTTCTGTTGTTTTATTGCAGATGGCATCCTACATGGTACATTTGCTGCCACCTACTGGGTAAATAGTTCTCAGGGCTTATTATATGAGACAAACTTTACTGATCCACAAGGGAAATTATTTTGACACAGTAACTCACACATCACAATAAATATAATAACAAAGAGCAAAAATATAAATGGTAATAAAAAATTCTAAATAAGTAGCAAAAAAGATAGCAAGAGATAGGTGTCAAATAAGACATAATTATATAAATGTATGTGTATAAGTTAAAATAAAATAGAAAGATAAGTAATAAAATGTAACATCTCCAGTAACTTGCTGCACACATTGAAAGACCTGAACTTTCTCAAGAAGTAGAGTCTACTCATGCCCTTTTTGTACAGTCCACTATTTCCACCTCATGGCCCTGGCAATGGGCTCCATTGGTGTCCTATCACCAGTTCCTTGGTATTGTCATTGTTCAAGAGCAGATGGTTTGCGTAGGACCACCCCACAAAGTTATACTATAAACATGTATACTGAAAATAATCCAATTTGGGTCCAATAATTTAATTTTATATTTGCTAGTTTAGGCAGATTTTCTTTTATTCAACCCAATAGTGGAGCTGTTAAGGACCAAAATAGTGCCCAATTGTTCACTTTTATGGTACAAGCATGAAACTTTGCCAGATTAGTAACATCCCTAGGACCAACATTTCTGGATATGGAAGCAAGCCCAAGTCAACCCTGGAGACGAGTACCATGCATGCCACATAATGGCTGACATGGAAAAAAGGCTGGGAGCTAAATTATTGCTTAAACTGCCTTTAAAAAAAAAATAATGTTAAATAATCATATAGGTTATAAAGAAGAATATGTATTCTCAAGATACTAGATACAATGCCGTTTTTAAAATGAAAGTAAAATTTAAATCACAAAAAGATATTTGCTACTAAACTAATGGTGTTTTTTTAAAGGTGCATTGTGTAACTTTTCTGGTCGCCATGGAGATGATATTGCTTGCTGGAATGTTTCACAGTATGGTATTAAACATTTCTATCTCCATGGAGACTAAACCAGACCAAGTTGCAGGTCAGATCTGTGGAGAGGCGACCCTGCTCACAGTCACGATGCCTGTTTTTCTAGGTATTTTTGAGCAATAAAAACACCTGTGATTGAATACATGTAAGGTAGATCTGTTTAATGTCATACTGTGGAACATTCTAGGCAGAGCACTGACATATCAATAGTAACAAGAAGGTGACAGACCCCCAATCAAAAAGTTCCACAGTGCATCTTTAATAGTATTATTTACTGTTTCTAGAATTTAAATTTGGCATGTGCCACGAATAAACCACAATCATCACCGAATTAATTTACCCCCCCTAAAACACATCACAGTATCATAATAACAATAATGACAAGAGCAGAGGTGGACGGCTCATTCAGTAAACCCACACCAAATTGAAAACACCTAAGAAATTGTGAAAATGATGATTTGGGATTATGACCAAATTAAGGCAAGATCTGACCAGGTTTTGTGATGGTGTAGTATTTTCATTGCGATCTCTCAATGTGGAATGAGCTGTAGATATTCAGACTATAGTTTAATCTAAAGAGGAGGCTCTGTTCACACCTGTACTACAGTGAGATATAGATTGTAATAAAGATATAAACCCATTATTAAGACCACAAATTTACTATGTTTTAGCTTCAAATGTTAAAATAAAGTCTAATTAAAAAACAAAATGCTTAAACTGCTGAAATAATGTTTTTTTTTCTTCTCATAATGTGAGATGGCTATGTAAAGGCTATGTAAAAGAACAATGCAATTTAACGCCTTTAGGTTCACAATGTAACATTTCCAGAGGAAGGTAAGATACCTGCTTGTCTCCAGGGAAATGTTATTACTTTGCTTTCTGTCAGAAAATAACAGAGATATTAACACAAGGAAACTCAGAAGGCAGAATTCAGGGTTTTTACTTGAGGCGAGGGACAGAGGCGCAGCTACAGCTCTTAACTGCCGAAGAACCACCGTCCAACGTCACGTATTTATTAAATCACACAAGTTACAAGAATAAATGGGCGGTTACATTTTTCTATGACACTAAAAAACACAGAGAATAAAGGTGTGTATTCTGTGTGTGTGTGTGTGTGTGTGTGTGTGTGTGTGTGTGTGTGTGTGTGTGTGTGTGTGTGTGTGTGTGTGTGTGTGTGTGTGTATGTGTGTGTGTGTGTGTGTGTGTGTGCCAGCTGCTGAGGTGTAAGGGAGGGATGTGCTTAGGGAGGACTGTCCTTGGGGAAGATAACAGTTAATGAGAAGTTCACTTAGAGAAATACCCTTTGATAAAATAAGACAAAGAATCATCTATACAAAGTTTGAAAAACTCTTTAACACTTTCACAGTATGACATTAACCTTATCCATCTCCCTGGTGACATGCAAGAGACCCTGCTAAATGTAAGAATGTATGCATTTTAGATATTTGAGCAATAAACACATTTTCAATCCTTAACTGAATAAACACAAGACTGGTATGTTTAATGCCATACAGTGGAACATTCCAGCCAAAGCTATAACATCTTCATAAAAGAAGCAGTTTGTGGACCCCCCATCAGAGAAGTTATAAAGCACCATTAAGATTTTTTGAATTTTAAGACACCAGATCTGCCCAGCCCTGCAGATTGGGGATGGAAGCGTGATGGCAGTTAGTGGTTAGGACAAGTGGCAAAGGACGCATTCTATGATCTTAAAAAGTGTGGATGCAGAAGCCTGTGCTGGGTGATGCAAGTGTGCAAAGACAAAATTGGCGTGTACAGGTTCATGTAAATGTGGCAGCAGATGCACTTACAGCACTTTAAATAAGTTTACTGATTTAAGGTAGTCTCTGTTCTGTGTTTGGGGTTAAGCCTCGCTTCCATGCAGCATTTAATTATCATTATGAACCATGATATGGCACTTACAGATCTTTAGAGATGGTAAAATGTGTTTTGTTATCAAAAACCCAATAAATATGTCTTTGAAAGATAAAATATTGTATTAACTTGGATTTCAGCCACAGGGAACCCAGACAACCCTTACATTCTTGAGGAAAACGATCATGTGACTGCCTTAATGCTTTGGAGTTTATGAAAAATAGTTGTTCAACATTACAAAATGGATAACTAAACAAATTAGACTGTAAGAAAGGAATTATGTAGTATTTTTTAAGTCAGCCTCATTTTCATATAGTCCATTTTGTGACATGTGCAGTTCTCAGCTCCAGTGTTGAATTACACTTGGTTCCATATCCAGAAATAATAGTCCTGGGGGTGTTACTAATCTGGCAGAGTTTCATGCTTATACCATAAAAGCGAACTATTTTGGTCCTGTCGTGAACCCTCCCTCGGCCACAGGAGAGCTCACTTGGGTGGGGTAAAAAGATGAAGGTTTTGGCGTAAGCCCCACTAAAAGGGCTCCTGAATTCAGATGAAGATGTTCATGATGCTTTATTTTGATAATTGAATAACTGTTAGAGCATTAGAGATTAAGAGTGTTTGATTTAGATATTAGAAGTGCTTTTGTGACCCATATTACCATGAGTTACTTGTTTTGCTTTGATTTAATCTGATTTGTTTCCTTTATATTGATTTGCTTAATTCTTTCAATTTAATTTTTAAGTTTAGGTTATTTTGCAATAATTTCTGTAACCGTTATGTTTGTGTGCAGGAAAGATAAGGGCCTTCTGTTCTTTTGACAGCTGACCTTTATTTGACATTGATGTACGAAACCTATATGTTATGCGGCGTGTGGGAGGCCTGTAGGCAATGCGGATGCGAAGCTTCCTGCTCCTTAAACGATAATTTTTGAGTGTAGTAAATGATATTTACCTTGTGTTATTGAAGAAATGATATTTTTTGAGTGTAGTAAATGATATTTTTGAGTATACATTGTGGTTTTAAAGCTATGTGATATTTTTTGAGTGTAGTCAGAGTTATTTGCATTGTGTCTTTAAAGCTGAGTGATTTTCTGAGGGTTATTACAGTGATTAGAAAAAAGGTAGTGAGGCCCAGGCTGCGTAATTTAGCCCTGGTCCTTTCAACAGGTCCTAACAGCTCCACTATTGGAGCTGCTCCGGTTATTCTGCTGTGTGCTGTAGGAGCGGCGCTGATGCAGTGTGTTCCTACTCTTCTAGTTTTGCTGACGTTGTTGGGACTGGTTGTGAGTGGTGTGTTACGTTGTGTTGTTGGGGCTGTGTGAGCACGGTGGATCAGGTTGCGTAATATTTGCTATTAGCGCTTGGCTGTGCGTTTTGATCGATCCAAAATGACTGTCTGTGTCTGGCATTCGTTACAATACATATATTTATAATATATATTTATAATTTTGGCCTATGTGCATATCTCTGAACCCCCTCAGCCAAATCATCAACAGCACTGGCTATACCGACTCAGAAACGGGACCACCATCAGTTACCTCCTCCACACGGATGATATCAATCCATACGCTATGAGCAAGAGATAAGGGACCCACAGATTTCCTCTTCCTCGCTGCGATAAAGTTTGAGCCGTAAAGTATATTTCATAATATTAATTTCCTTAATTTATTTAATTCGTCTAATTGCAAATTATATTATTTTGTATTTAAAATATTCTTATTTTTGTATTGGGTTTAGTTAATGTTTGTTAAATGTATTTTTAACGTTTTTTTTTACCCATATACAAAAAAGCCCTCTACACTCTGCTGCTCCTCCCACTGACAACGACACGCCCACCTAGTCACTAGCTGTTTTCTGAGAAATCGAAAGCTGTACTCAAACAAAAGACGTCTATGGTGGTACTGTGTCGGTAATTTTAAATTTGGTTTTGGTTGGATAGTTATTATCCGTAGAGAAAGCTTGCGTAATAAAGTGTTCCGCTGCAAGTCCGACGAGTGCTGCAGACATTTGCGAGATTATACGCAGAAGAATGAGCTATGATCGAGGCGAAGTTCTTAATGCTAGCTGAGAAAGTTGGCTTCTGTGACTGACGCGATGCAGTCCAATCTCTCCCGACGAGTGTGCGTTTATGACCGCCGATTTGAGGGCAGCAAACGAAAAGAAGAATGGCTGGTTACGAGTGATCTGGATTTTAAGAGCTTTCTTCGCATTCTGTCTGAGGCATGTATTTTTTTTTACCTGATTGTTATTCAACATTCTTAGGTTTTTATAGCTTATTAGGATACATAATTAGTCTATGTTTATGCGACTGTTTAGAGACCTAATCATATTTGATGGATACCTGTTGCTGTAACCTATGCTTGCTGACAGTTTTATGCTTCTTTCCTTTCCTTTTTTTGTTTTGTTTTTGTTAGTTTGTTTTTGTGATTTTCAAGAAGTCACCTGCTCTATGTTCCCACGTTAGTTGGGTTTTGGGGTAATGGTTAGGGTCTGGTTTTGAGATAAAGGTTAGGGCCAGGCTATGTAGGGGTTGTGCATTTACTAAAATATGTTTTTAATTGTGAGAAAAGAGGGAACATAGTCGGTTTACACTGTCGGTTTCACAGTTTAGATTCAGTCAATTCTTTGTTTTAGTAGTGTTAAAAAAACTGGATTAAACATTAAACATGGATTATAATAGCTTTTTTCCCTTTTGCAAACAGACATTTTCAGTTCCACTCCATGAAGCGTTTGTTTTGGTCACTACAGAGAGGACAGTTCTTGATGCAGAAAAATACTGTAAGTAAATCTCACTAATGAAACACCAACCCTGTCATATCAGTTACCACTGAGCAAAAGCCATCTACTGGATGATTTTAATCAAAGTCAGAGCAGTGACTGCTAGTGTTTCAAACAGGGCCTCTTTGCTTTTTCATTTTTATCATATCTGTATTGAAGAAATTTCATATTGTTGTAATTAATCCTGTGTCCCCTAAGTGGAGGAGTTCAGGTATCTCAGAGTCTTGCTCATGAGTGAGGGGAGCGTGAGATTGAGAGGCGGATTGGTGCAGCATCAGCAGTGATGCGGTCGCTATATCGGACCGTTGTGTTGAAGAGGGAGCTAAGCCGAAAGGCATAGCTCTCGATTTACTGGTCAATCTAAGTTCCTACCCTCACCTATGGTCATGAGCTCAGGGTAATGACCAAAAGGACAAGATCACAAGTGGTCAAAATGAGTTTCCTCCGCAGGGTGTTTGGGCACCTCCCTCGGGAGGCTCCTATTTGTCCTGTAACTGCTGTTGTAGATGAATAGAAACCTCACCTTTGAGTTGCTACTCCACTGCCGACCCCAAAGTATTACACTTTTATACGTTCTAAGTATATTGTCCTGACTCTTGTGGTTGCAGGGACATGCAAACCAGCAGGGACATGCAAACCACCACAGCCTGTAAATCATGGAATACTGTTGAGCTACTTTCATTTCTTTGAATGAAGAAATAAATGCTTCATACATAGTTTAATACTCATGCGTTTTTTTTTTTCAGCGCAATTACAAGATGGTGCCACTCTATACTTGATGCAGAGAGAGGACCAAACACTAGAGGTGCCCACAGAAGAGCTTATTTATTTTACTCCTCATCACGATACTGTGGTGGAGAGTGGCACATATAAATATTACGACAGTGAGGGCAAGAAAGCTCTCCGTAAGTATTCAAAAATTGTTGTTTTCACATTTTAGGTCTTGACAAAATATGAAAAACTGATTCTTATTTTACATAATGTTCTTTTATATAGCATATGCCCTGGCTGATCTGGTCGACAACTCACTTTCTGCCACAGTCAATAATGCTGCAGGGCGAACAATAGAAATACGAATGGTAGGCTTGAAATACTGAAGGTTACAAAGTTTAGAATATACTGACTGAGCAGAAACTGCCTTTTTGGGTTAGCTTTTTGATGAAAGCTATGGAAAACCTGCTGTCATTGTGTGGGATAATGGATGTGGTATGACTTCTAAACAACTCAACAACTGGGCAGTGTACAAGCTCTCCAAATTTAACAAGGAAAATGGCAGATTTGCAAGGTTTGTAATACAGGTCATTATTATTCCTGACTAAGGATGTACTGATCACATGCTGGCAATGAAAAATAAAAACAAATGGAAATGGATACTGAAAACAGGATGAAATATCGGCTTCCAAATATCTTTTCAGGCGATATGCTGGTTGGACATGTTTTAATTTTATTAAACACCGCAATGAGTTAACCAGTGTGGGTCCTTGGGCAAGACCCTTCATGCTACTGCCCACCTCATACAGTGAAGAGAGACAATGAAACATACAAGATGCTGGCTCAGATGTTGCATGGCCAAACAAAGTCTGCTTCAGGAACAGTCAGAGGGGTTACATGAACAGGATGTGGGAGAAATGGTTATTACGATACCCACAGGTATCAGTAGATACTTAGAGAGTCTTATCTTGCCTTCGGTCTTTGCGGGAGTGCTAGCGTGGTGTGCCATGCCTGAATATCAGGTGAAGTGGACCAGAGGGTGTGGTGTGGCGCTTTCAGTGAACTGCCAGAATCATGAAAAATAAATATCAAAACTAGTCCACTGAAAAACATTATGTGTAACATATTCAAGGCACAAATAGCCTTATTTTATTTTTAAATATATGATAAATGCATAATATTCACATGTGTGCTGTACAGGATGTTCATGCACCATTCAGCTGCATAATTGAGGGCAAAAGGAGAGGAACGCAGAGAAAACTATGGTTGACGAGAGTCACAAACACAAGCCCAGCCAGTTCTGTGAGGGCCCATCCAAAATTCTATAATCCTGGCACTTCTACTGGTGTGTATTTACCTCGTGAGGCTCCAGAGCTGTTTTTTGTACCCATACAATTTTTTTTTCCCCCACCCCCCTATTTGCTGCTTGGTAATTAGGCAAAGATTACAGACATTACCCATGTTGGCAGTGATTTTAAATGCCACAGCGGTCACAGATTGGTTCAGGTGCCATCACCAAAGATGCACGTGTTCCGTCTCACTCCAGCCCCCCAGCAGCAAAGTAAAGCCCGACCTCGACACAACCCCTCGTTAACACTTGCCGCTTGCGCAAAGACTAGTGACAAGATAGGGCCCATAGTATCGAAAATGGTATCGAAACTGAAAAAGCTGGATCAGTACATCTCTATCAGTCATAGATATGCTAATACATTACTTCAATTCTAAAATGGTACTGTTATTTTGCAGTGATCAAGGCAATTACTCTCGTCCTGGACATGTTTGTCGAAGTCTGAACAGCGACATATCCTACTTTGGAGTAGGAGGAAAACAGGCAGCTTTCTATATTGGGAAGACAACCAGGGTACTGTAAATGAAATGACTGAATGAAAACCAGAGTACAGTGTACATTTTGTGAGCAATCAGTCTCTCTGCTTTCATTTAAAATGCAGGAGAGTCTGGAACCAAAGCATATATCTGCTTTACATAGATTAGTGCTTTGCTTGTGGATTTTGCAGAAATCTGTTCTGTTTCTCAGTAACTTATTTTTTCATTAATTTTTACTCCTAAGTCGGCATGTTAGTTTTGACACTGAATTTGCCAATCACTCCCATTAGAAATCTGTTTCCATATGTCTTGGCTGGCAACCATGTACATAGTTTAGTAGTTAACTAGAAAAGCACTCAGAGAGCGCAGACCTCCGCCAAGGACTACCCCCATTTTTTATATAAATTGCGATAAATTCAGTCTTCTGGATCAGATCCGGATCAGCCTTTGGAATATGAAAGAGGATCCCATTGTCCATCCCTGAGTCAAATTTCATGGGGTTTGGTCAATAATTAACCGAGATATTGAGAAACAAAATTTTTGGCCCCATTTACCACAATGTTAACTAAAATTTCAAAGTGATCCAGAATCCAGGATTTCTTCCGGATCACCCCCAAAATGAAATCAGTTCTTCCTTTTCACATTTCCAACAAATCCTGAAAATTTCATCAAAATCGGCCCATAACTTTTTGAGTTATGTTGCTAACAGACAAACAAACAAACAGACAAATGCCGGCAAAAACATAACCTCCTTGGTGGAGGTAATAATGGTAAGTCCCACTTTAAGTACATGTTAATTGTAATTAGTTGTGGACTGGGGAAGGCCTAAGATGATTTTCTTTTATAATTTTGAAATAAAAAAATATGAAAACACAAGTGATACATTTGATTTGGAAATTTGGACACCAAATTACAGGTTTTCTTATTGCTGTAAAATTGTTTTAATTTGCATACTTTGATCATTTTTTAGGTCATCAGTAAATCTTCCAGCTCCCCTGATGTGCATGAACTTATTCTGTCCAAAGCATTATTTGAGAAAAAGGAAAAGAACAAAGAAGACACTTACAGCACAACCATCTATAATCGTAAAGTAAGTTTATATATGATTTTTAAAATTTTGCTCTAAAATGTTTATATCTGTATGTGTTTGACTTGTTGTAGCCTGGTGAGTCCTCACACATTACTAAAACTGTGGACCGTTTCCTGCGTGACCTCATCACAGAAGAATATGATCACCAGAGCTTCACTGCTGTTGTTATTACTGATGTCGTGAAAGAGCACATCACTTTTCTCAAGGAGAATTTTGAAGTGTGGACGAGGCAGCTTGCGTGAGTTTTTTTGCAAAGAAGAGTTTTTAATGCATTAAGGTCATTATTTGACATACACTGGGTTGTGGGATTTTTGCAGACACATATACCACTATTATTTACATGGACCCAATGGGAATATTCAAGGAGCAGTACCAAAATCAAGCACTCTAGATTCTGAACAAATCTCCAAAATCAACATTCTGGTGTGTTGCTTTCAGTATAGTAATATATTTTTATTTGTATTTCCTAATGTTTGTTATACTTCCTTATGTAATAGGTCACTCTCAAGACAAAAAAGAGTTCTTGTGTAGTTAATCTCAGAGACATTGGAACAGACCTACAGAGCTTGTACATAAAGGCTGCTGTTTCTACATTTGAGTTCAGAGCTTGTACTAACCCAGAGGCAGGTATCGTGGAGGGGATACTACGGTACCACCCCTTCCTATACGACAAGGAGACATACCCTAAAGACCCTGATGCCCAGGATGCTCCTGATGTCCTGCATGGTAAACACAAAAGACATTATAAGCTCAAAATGTGATGAAAACTGAGTCATTTTCATTTTTTTTTTATGTTCCCAGGAGATGTTGAAGAAAATGAGTATAATACTGACATCAATGCCCAAAAGCAAAAGAAGCCGGTCTTTGAATGCTATTGGAATGGACGTCTTATTCCATACACAACAGTGCAAGAGTAAATACTGTATGATACATTAAAGGCATTTTTTAAATAGTAAGTAAATTGTTCATTTCTTTTTGCAGCTTTGATTGGTGCAGCCAGCCTTCTAAAGGATCCAAAGTACCGATTGAGTGTTACAATCGCTTCTCTGGTGTGCTCTTCACAGATGACACATTTAAAGTCACTGAGAATAAACTTACCTTCATAGACCTGGAGCAGAAACTCAAAAACAAAGACACAATATTCACGGTTGTTTTGAAGGGACAGGTCAGTGAATGAATAATGGCTGTTTGACTTTTGACTGTCTAGATCTATAATTTTTGAGAAAATAGATATCTGCAATCTTTGTTTATCAGATTTTTTTTTTCACTTTTTAAATGTTAACTCTGGCTTCCACAGAATCAAAGAACTAACCTCCAAAAAGAGTTTAGTCAGTGGCTACAATCCTGTCATGAAAAATTTGACAAACAAGTGAAGTTTATGAACTACCAGGGCACAATCTCACGGAATGATATACCAACCAAGAGGAACCAGTTTCCATGGACCACATTCTCGAAAATAGAATGGGATGGCAAAATTTACCAGGCGGGCGATTATGTGAGTCTTTTATTGTATGCTACACATGGGAGGCATTCAGAGTTTTATTATTGTATTTTTAAATGAACAGATCAAGTCTCTAAAAACCGCTCCTATTTACAATGGTAAAGTGAATCGCTTTCTGTTGTTTGGAACACATGATCATGAGGGACATGTGTACGGTCCTGGAGGTCAGGTGGAAATTAATTTGGTGAGTGTGAGTTAATCTGGTGTCAAAACAAGCCTGACATGGCAAATTTATTAAAAAAGCATGTACATGACATTGTGGATACTAAATGTGACCTTGTTTTGCAGGAGCCCAAAGGACTTTATGATAAAGCAAAAATCATACCTCTGTCCAAAATTGACAGTAATGCGACTGATGAAGAAATCAAGAAAAGCATTAACAATGATTCTGCAAAGTCAGTAGTAAATGTATACGTAAAGGCGAGGCATTATAGTTGAAACATTTATGCATACATTTTTTCCCCATTTTTGTTTTTTGTCTCTTTTTTTTTTTTTTTTAGTCTTTTTTTTTTAGCCTTAGATTTCCTGTCCTTAGATTTATAAGTGACACTGTAACTCAACTCAAAGGCAGTTTTCTCTAAATGCATTTTTCTCGCTCAGAAACTTAAAGATCATCCCTTAAAGTAGCACCTATGTACATTTTCCAGTCTGGTACTAAACAGTAATAGACCACCTAGAGTTAATGAAGGATTTATTTATCTAATCCTGTTGTATTAAAGTCAGCGAGTTAACGCCAATAGTAAACAAGATATCTAAAATTTAAACCTGTCTCTATTAATTTTTTCAAATTTATATATCCCAAATATGTGCAACATATTACACATAAATTGCGTTATTTGCATCTGAAAACATTACATGATGAAAAATCTTACATTTATGTAAATAAAAATAAATTTCATATTGATGTATCTAAATGTGATGTATCACCTGCAGTTTTATGTTTCATGCAATTTCTTTTGTCTACCAGGCTTCCAGACAAACTTGAGGTGACATGGCCTAAGGGCAACCCATGGCCAGACAACGCAACCTGTCCAGCTGGAACTGTGTTAGGTAAATCATATTTGACCAGGGCTCAAACTTTGTGCTAGGGTACTAACAGATGCTCTGAAACTTTCTCCTCGAAGGACCAATAAATGTAAAGATTCTGAATAAGAAGGGGGATTCTATGTCCTGCCTGCCGTCCGTGGGTCGTGGAGTGTTAAAAAAACTGTCAGTTGTGCTCAGACTAGTGCATCATGGTAAGATCTATTGCAACACCTTTGTATTTTATAATCTTAAAAAAGGATTTTAGCAAATAAGATTTTGAGAGTTCAAATCAACAGTTCCTAAGGGAGATCAAGAGATTTTAGCAGTGGAAGCTGACCATTCACCAAAGTGGAATTTTTGGTTTAAAGAGATCGGTATGGCGTCTTTTTATTATGTTTATTTTAACAAAAAACCAAGCATGACCCCTAATAAGCCCTTTTTGTAGGGAACATTTTGGCACTGGGAAAATATACATTGCATTTAATTACCATTCAAACTGAGACCAAAGCCAATGAATTTGGAGAAAGACGTCTTCCACATTTTAAACTTAGGTTTACCATCAAAGGTAAGTGTAAAATACAAGAGTAGTATACTTTAAACAGCTTATAATCAACATTTTTTAGGATATCAGACTTTCTACAAATTAATAATAGCTTGATTGTTCTCTTCCACATTTTGCAGAGGATGTGGCAAATCAATTTGATGTGGCCGCAATTGGCTCAACCCTTCGTATTGGAGTGCCTTTTAACATCTCTTTGAGGTTTAAGGACAGACACGGTCATGCTGTTGAACCTCCCCCAGATTTGAAACCTACACTTCAGTGCAGGTGACTTATGATTGTCAATGTCAGATTTATTTTATATTCATCATCATTTCAAAGTGGTAGTCAGTATGCGAGTTACTGGTTCTTCAGATATTGGTTAGTATTTATAAATGCCTTAATGCTTAATAAGATTATTAAGATGAGAAAACAAAAAGGTTAAAAAGGATAAACTTAAAAGTGAGCTTTATTGTCAATTTCTTCACATGTACTAGACATAGGAATCGAAATTATGTTTCTTTCTATTCCATGTGTAGACAATGACTGAGAGAGCGAGAGGCTGCTACGTCTGCACACACCACCTTTCAAATCATAACACCATTCAGGTTTTGCTGCAGCAAACTCTTGCAGTTGCATGGCCTTTGTGTCTCAAAGGTCTCAGTGCAGTTTAACAGGAGGATTGGTCAGGGAGGGTCAGCAGATCTGTGTCAGGACAGTTTAAGGAGAGGAAAAGCCAAAAGTTCTCCGACTCTGTGTCTTGCAGCATCAGAGCAGCCTCATTCTTCTCATTCTTAGAAAGGTCTCATTCTTATTCTGCTCTGGTGTTTTGGTTGGTGAAAAAATGGTCCATTCCCTCAAAAGTGTTTTCTCTGGAAGATTTTTTGGCACATTTGCTGCCACATATGGTGTAAAAAAGCCTATAGCTTCTCAAATGTCCATAGCTTGCTCCTTAGCTAGCATCTATTGCTAAGAATGCTAATGAACTGTATTTAATGGGAAGAAAATATAAGAGTAAAATATGGCCTTAGACACATTAATAAGGATATATGTATTATAAATGCCAACCAGGGATGCAATTAAGTCCTTAATATGCCTTTTACTATGACTTGGATGTTATTTTGTGGTTACCAATGTTTTTATTTTTTAATAGCGGTTTGGATGTTACGTATGAACAAGTGGAATGTAGAAACATCATGTATATTAAAAATGTCAAAGTAAAAGGAAAAGTCAGGAATCATCTAGAGCCAAATGTGAGTGAAAATGCATCTGAGTTACTTCTTCATGCTTGCTTTGTGTATTTAATACCATTTTTCTACACTCACCAATATTGTGCTTTTAGCTGCATGACCTAAAGGTGACAATAGATGGTCTCAGAGAGCACTCCAAAACAGTGACGATTACTGTACTTCCTGGTAAAGTGTTTTATTCCTTTAAATTTGGTTTTGGAATATCTCTTAACACAAACCCCTTTTCCACGTAAACATCTTGTGACACACTTGCCTGTCTTTTATGTTTTAGGTAACCCACACTCCATCCAAGTAATTCCCAAAGAGAACCCAGTCGAGGTGGAGAATGGCAGTACAATTAAATGGAGTGTTATGGTTCAAGATGAGGATGGAAACCCCACTGCAACACCCAAAATGACTGCTCGATGCGTTGTATGAATTAATTTTTAAGCATGTGTTCTGTCCATCAATAAGTATGACATTTCTCTCTCTATTTTCCTTTTTAGGTTCCACATCAGCCACCAGCCAACATAAACTGCATGGCTGGAATTGGTGAATATGTGAGTAAACCCATCAATTTGTCACTTACCCACGGAAAGCCACAAAGCCTTCAAGTTCGATTCAGTGTTCCTGTGAGTAATCAGTGCTTTTTTATTCACACTATTGAAGATTTTGAGCTGTAAGATGGCGTGCTTTCTTTCAGAGTCAAAAGGGTATAGAGGAAGTCACACGTGAGGTGCTTGTACTGCCCAGTAAAAGAGTCATTCGTATCAAGATCTATGAAAAGGATGCGTGTCTTGAACTGAAAAACAACGAGAAAATCGACTGGATGGCTGGTGCTGTGTTGGGAAACCTGTACTTCATGCTTTACGATGAGGGTGATAGAGAGGTTCCTATCACGGCTGAGGTGGCTTCAAAGATCAAGGTGAGTGGAACATGTAATAATTCTCAAAGGGCCCATATTACACTATTTTCTGATCTATATTATAATGCTGTTTCCTCATCAAATAACCTACCTGGAGTCGTGTTTTGTTTAATTCACACATGTTTAACACACAAACTCTGCATATTTAGTGTTCTTCTCTCGAACAGAAAACACTGTTCCAACTTATGACGTCGCTTGGTAATACAGGAAGTGCTCCAATGTGTTTAACTAGATTCATTTGGATTATTTCATACCTGGAATTGCAAATCTCTATTGAACTAAAGGTACTGTAAATGGTAGCTGTTAACTTGAAAACTACCGTTTCATGACATCACAAGGTGGAACAGAGCATTTTGAGCTTTGGAGATGTAGACAGACTAATAATAAAGGATTACTCAAATGTGTGAATGAAGCAAAACACAACTCCAGGCATGTTTTTGAAGATGTAATAATATTATAACATGGTTCACAGGAGTTAATTTTGCTTAATACAGCCCTTCTTAAAGTATAGATAAAATACAAATGACACCAATTTAAAAAACTAAACAAAATAACAATCATTTTAGGCTAACTGGACTGGGAACATCGATCAGAAAGAACTGATGAAAGGCAAGCTCCCTGATGTTACAGTACCAACCAAAGCTCATGCCGATCAGTTTTACCAAGTGTCATACCAAGACCAGAGTGTTACCGCCTCCTTTATCATTGTGTAAGTTTTTACGTATCTATCACCAAACCAGTACATTCTAAATGAACACCTTAGGGCAATGGAAAGGAAGTTGCTAAACTGCTCAGGCACACTGTTCTTGATTCATTCTACATACATATTTTCCAGGCCTATTCCTGATGTGCCTGCAGGATTAAAAGTAATTCTCCCAAAATGCATAGCAAGACTTGGGGAAATGTTGCCTGGAAACATAAGTGAGTGTGACTTATTGGGATTGAAAGAATTTGACAGAACATTTGATAATCAGTAAGTTTGCCTACAGTCTTAGAGCTTGTGGACCGATATGATAATGTTACAAAGACATTGAAACCATCCTGCGTAAATGAAATAATCGTAGAGGGTGAGGATCTGGACCAAAAAGCTTTAAAATTAAAGTTTGAGGTGAGAGTGCAAATGTGTCAGATCTTTTCTTAGTCATTCAAATGTTCACGTAAACATTGCATTTGTAATGATGGTGAGTGTCTTTGTTCTGTGTCAACATCAGGAGAGTAGCTGTTCAGTTGTAGTGACTGGTGTGCGCTTCATCTCTGGGACTCCTGGTTCCAGGGAGATGAGTTTTACCTTTGGAGATTTTACATACCGTACCAGACTCAAAGTGGCTGCAGGAATTCCTGCAAAGCTTACTCTTATCAGTGGACAGGCCCAGGTAGGTACCGCATTTTACCACATGTGCCCATTAACTTCATGTAATGACTCAGATTTTATTTTTCCTCCTAGTTTATGAATGTTTTGAATGGTCATGGCATTCCCACACCATTTGTTATCCAATTGTGTGACCAGTGGGATAATCCCTCTCCAGATCAGAGGGTTGTGGTAAAAATATTGGCCTCATCAGAATTAAATGTATGTTTCTCAGTTATGCTAGATACATTAATTAAGACACAATTTCCACTAATTTATTTATTTTTGAATTTATTTTATATGGTAGATGAGTATAAATGTATCGTCACAGCCTGTGAATGCAGAAGGACAGGCTTCTTTCACTGTGACTTGTGTGAGTGGACCAAAGTAAGGAAAAGCCACAAGGGGGCACCAGTTCATTAAATACAACATTCACTTCCAAATATTATTTTCTAACAATGACACGACAAGTGTAGAGTTATAAATCCATTCCTTTCTTTGAAGGGGATCGTATGCGCTGAACTTTAAAGGAATCTTTAAAAAGGAACCGATACCTGGACCATCTGTAAATCTGACTGTCCTCCCTGATCCTAATAAACCTGTCAGCTTAGAGGTGGAGTATGACAAAAGGGCCACTTTTATCGCTGGCGAGTTGCTTCCTGGTATGTGATGAGTCAAATATATTTGTATTAATGTGTTTATTTTGACTAATATAACTACAGTCAGCTCCATGTTTGTTCAGCATTTTTAGTGACTGTTATGTCAGATGAAGGCAGGCCAATCATAACCCGACAAGCTGTGTCTATGCAATATTGGAAGGGAGACTCAAGAAACCCAGGCTCAAATACAGTAAGTGTCATGTCCAAACCAAGCACTTAAGTTACTAAGATGGTATTGTTTTTTTACCAAAGATTATCCTTTCTAGCCAATTGAATTTCAGTGTTGTGAGCCCAAGGAGAATGAAAAGAAGGACATTTTTTATTTCAGGTATAATGACAAGTTGTGTTGTTTCTTGGTTAGGGTGTTACTCAATATGTAAATATTGTTTTCCTGTTTATAGAGAAAAGCCTGTCCCTGAACATGTTGGGAAATATACTATCCAGTTCTTCTTACATGACCCTAAAAATAAAATAACATTGTGTAGTGATCCGGTATGAAGCATCTTAAACAGCCAAATAACACATTTTTATCTACCAATTTTTGTACAGATATTTTTTGTGACTTTCATGTTTTCTTATGGTTTATTCTCGTTAGATTCTTGTAAATGTAGTGGCAAATAGGCCGATGAAGTTGGCTCCTGAAAATCCACCTCCAACACAAGTTGTATCTTATAGTGAAGACATCGCCAAAAGAATGTTGGTGGAGAACATGACTCTGATGATAATGGTGAGCCCCAAACACCATCTTTAATTGCCCCATGTATTTGTTCATAATTTGTAAACATTATTTTTATTTTTTAATTTTTTTACAGGATCAGTATGGCAACCCAGCAGGTCAAGGACTGAATGGGGTTGTTAAGATCTCTATAGAAAACTTGAACAGTTGCAAGCAGAGAGAATGTTCCGTTATTTGAAGATAAAAGCATTAATTGTAGAATTAAGCTAGAGAATGGAAAGGCTCATGTTTCTGTAAGTTTATTTCTTTATACAAGGATTAACAAATCACATTGTGAATATCTGATCATGAATTTTCAACAGAATCTTGCCATAATGAAAAAAAGTCCTGGGGTACATGGGGTCACATATATGGTCCTCTTCAGACCTGAGATTTCCCCAAGAATTCCTGGGAGTCTAGATTCTTATGAGTTTCACTTCAGCTTTTCCAATGGTAAACTATGCACTCCTTTTTGGCTAATCTTTCTACTGTACTTTTGCCAAACTAACAGCTTCTACACTTTAGATGAAGAGAACCAGAAAATACATGTGGCATTATGCAGAAAAAGGGATGCAGTCAAAGACGCTATTATCCAAATTAAAAAACGACAGACACAGCACACGAAACTTATGGAAGAGTACGATGGTGTGGGTCAATTTTAAATGACATTTTAATTCTTATTGAAACTCTATAATTTGCTTTGAATGTGTTGTTTGTTTTTTTCAGGTTTATTAAAAAAATTATCTGAGAATGAGGCAAACCTGCGAAATAAACTCAGAAATGAATGGAATGAGGACTTAACAGAAAATACATCTGTAATAAATTCTCTAGTTTAAGCATTCATGTGCATGTAAAAATGCTTTACACATTTGATCATCTATTTTACAGATTGAGATGGTTGACAGAATCCTACATGAAAAGCAGCTTGAAGCCAGAAGCATTTGGAACACACCCAGAAGAACTTGCAAAATACCGTGTTACAGTAAAGGACCAGATGTTATAGGAAAGGTAATGTGTTCTGTATTGTGTTGTTTATTTGAGTTAGGTTTTTGTATTTCTAATTGAAAGAACTGATAGTCACACATGCCTTTTTTAAATCTCTTTGATTATACTGTATTAAATTCAAATCAAAATCACAATGAAATTACGCGCAGGTTGGTCACTTGGCATATGTGATGGATGATTTTGAAGCCTGGGTGATCTCATGGCACATCAGAGGTGACATGGACTGCATTGTCACCACGACATATGCAGCTGCAAAGGAAATCCTTAGGCTCACCAATGGCAAGCAGCAGATTTTGCCCATCGAAGGAATTAACCCCTCTTATAAACGGTATGTTTTTGCTGCTATGTATGGTTGTAAAATAAAAAGCTGATAATATAGTGTCTATACTCAATACTGTACATGTGATACCTTTTCAACCTTTTCAGCCCCCTCTTACCATTACCCCATATACAAAATGGTCGGGTACTTTTTGCTCCAAGGGGAAATCCACGGTATGCGGCAGACGTTCTGATTTACCCAGACAACCGCGCAGACTGTGAGATTGGTGAGTAAGGAGGTGGTTCATTTTTGTGCACTTCATATGAAGCAAACTTGTACCAGTTTGGACAAATGGACAAATGTCTAAAAATGATCTACTTGATTGTCATACAGTATTTAGGACCCTCCTGGGGAGGACCATCTTGATTGATGACCTAGACTCTGCAAACCATTACAGACAGTCTGTAAGTCAAACTATTAGACATGATTGAATATGTACTTCTTTTTTCTTTATACTTTTTAATTATATTTTTTGTGTAGGTGGTGAGATGCAATGTGATGTGCCCCACCATCCTCACCAAACAAGGGGAGAGGGTCAGTGCCAGTGGAAAGTTTGGGGGTGCACAGAATAAAGCTCCACCCATGCACCAGTTGGAGATCTTTGGGGCCCCCCTACCTGAGCATTTCTCAAGCCTTCAAAAAAATATAGGTATCATATTGAATCATTTGATCCATCCATATTGAAATGTAGTTTTGTAATCTCTTATCCATCTTTTAATATAGAGCATCTCAAACAGTACAGAGTAGCTCTTGAAAAAAAGCTTCAACAGATAAAGGAACAGAATGACACATTTAGTATTTTGGAGCCTAAAATCAAGAAGAATAGGGAGTCTTTGGGGATTATGGACAAACAACTGCAAGAGATTGAAATACAACTTGGTATGAAAAGTGACATAAAATACAACATGACATGGAAAAATTTTAGTTTTTGTCTAATGATTTTTTTTTCTTCAGCAACCCCACTCAAAAGGGTTCATGACAGCGGTGGTGAAACGTCGGGCATTACTACCAAACGAGCAAAACTGGGATCAAAATAATCCCATTAAAATGCCAAATTACTGTGAAAAAAGACCATATAATGTGGGTACATTGCATTATTGTTTTTGTTTTGTTTTGTTTTTACAGTGCTAGAGTTTTAAATATTTTTACTGCACACTTTTTTGTATAAGTAAGTATATATTGGTTTGTTTTAACAATTATTAAAATCGAAAACAAGCAATAATTTTGCCTGTGTTTTCTTTTTCTTGTTTACTGACAAACTGCTAAAGATAAATGTTGAATATTTGCTTTTTGCACAGAATTTAACAATGTTTTTGATAAAGATTTCTAGCGGTTTTTCTTATATTGTGTATATGTGTATTTTAGTTTGCTGAAAGTATGAACATGTTTAAAATAAACCCTCCGCCTTTTCTGTAGGTCTCAAACAATAATTAAAAATACTTTTGTCCTGCTCAAAAATGTAGTGGGGTAGAAAGTACAGATACCTGCGCTCAAATGTAGTAAAGTAAACGTAAAAAGTAGGCTATTCACACTGAAGTCTACTTAAGTAAAGTACAGATACATAAAACGTGTACTTAAGTACAGTACTTAATTACTTTTACTTCGTTGCGTTCTACGTTTTTTTTTTTGCGTGTCTCCAGCTTTGGCCCGGAGGTAGTCAGGGGGATGTAGTGCGTTTGGAGGGGGACTGAAAACGTCACATTCAAGGAGCTGTAGCAGCTTTGTTAACTCCAGAAGTTAGAGCGCCAGCTGCGCTCCATAAACATCCCCATATTACTAAGCGCACAGCACACAGCTCCAGCGGCACAATGAAGAGCGCACTCTTTTACCTTCTGGTGACTTTACCTGCCGTCAGGGCGACTCCTTTTCAATACAACGTATTCCAAGGAAACACTTACTCTGGCTCCGAATCACGTCAGAGGAATAAGTGAGTATCAGCTAGTGTATTTTACTAAATGCCGTTTAAATCATGAGTAAATAACGTGAACCAAATTGTGCCTTGATTTTTTTTTTTTATAATGTTGCTTTTCTAGAAATTGGTGTGCGTATGTGGCGCAGAAAAACGTAAGCTGTGTGATCACTGGTGGTACGGAGAGCTTTGTGCAGCCCGAGTTTGTGCCGTGCCCGCCAGAGATGCCGCACTGTGAGCCACAGATGGTGTAAGTGAAGATCCCGAAATTATTTCCATAAATATTCATGATGATTTTTAACTGAATACGTTCTTCAGCTTATGGACCTTCCTACTCTCAGATCTATTTGGAAAACACTGGCACTGTTTAGATTTTGGTTATTGATTGTAATAGACAGTGTTTATTAAATTAAGTTTACATTATGGTCATAATCCAAACAGTTTTCTCTTTTTAATAGATATCGGACACACTTCAGACCAATGTATAAGATTGGCTACAAGATTGTGTCAGAGCTAGAGTGGCGGTGTTGCCCAGGATACCAGGGTTATGACTGTAAGGAGCTCAAAGACACAAGTCTGCTGTCACCAAACCGCTCACCCTCTTCTCCATCAGGTCATATTCCAGTGCCCCAAGGTGAAAACAAAACAGACTGGAAATAGTCTACAAACAACTACACATTGATCATTTTCCTCCTGTATGTTGTAGGTCCACAAGTGAACACAGAGCATCCATGGGCAGGAGATGGACAGTTTCCTATTCACACACGTCATAAACCTTCATTTGGCCAGGCTGGATCTCCAAACCCCCGACACTTGGAAGAGGAGGTGAAACATCTCTCGCAGATGGTCCTGGACATGCAAGCCAGGATGACTGACATGGCTTCTAACTTGCGACTGGACTTTCAAGAGGATGCCAGTAAAATGCTGATATCCCTGTTGAATGACCACAGACAGCCAGCTAGTGCTCGTGGCGCCAATACACAGACCGTCCGGGTCCAGGACCTCGCTACTGAGCCAGAGACGTGGCTTGAGGTCATGGACAAGATCAACCGCGTCACTGGTGCCATGGAGTCCAACTCCAACACCCTAGATGACCTCTTGGAACGGGTCAACCGTCAAGATGGACAAATTGATCTGCTGATAAAGAGCGCAAAGAAGCCGCAAGTAATGCCTGCCTCAGGATATGAGCCTGACCTACGATCCTACTTGGACGAAAACATCCGTGTTTTGAGGGAGGAGCTGATGGAAGGCATTGAGATTAAAATGGCAGATATGAAAAACTCGTGTGAGTATAAAATGATGTCTGTCCAGGAGCTATGTGAGAACCAGGAGTCCCACTACCTCAGTCTAACTGAACTTATGGAATCAAAAGAGGATGACCTCCGCAATGAAATCAAACAGCTCAAATCAAAGTTGGAAAGAGATGGACAAGGACAGTCTGGAAATTCTTCTCTGCCAAATGCAGTTGTGGCTCGAGTGGAAAACATAGAGCGATGTCTAAACCTTTCTGAGAAAACTTTGTCAAGGAAGTGTGGACACTTAAATACAGATCAGTCACAGGATCTTCAAGATCTTAAGACAGCTGTGGAGGCAAAGTTGGTCTTCATGCAGGATAGACTGGGTTCTTTTTTGGCAAATACAGGGACAGACTCCTCACCTGGTTTGGATTCAACTCACAACATGCCACTGGACAAAGCTGCTAACTTCACTGGAAAAACACTGAATTATTTACAGAAAGGCCTAAATAAAACTGAGGCTAAAGTAACAGTTATGGAGAAGAGTCATCAAGACTACCAAAAAGATATAGACATCCTCAAAACAGGTATTAATATACAACATCGAAAACTTGGAGATATGGAAAAATCTATTTTCATCAACAATTTGAACTTTGAAAATCTTACCAAAGAGCTAAGATCAGTCAAAAATGACCTAGAAACTACACATTGCAAAGAAAAAACAAAAGAAGTTGGGAAGGAGCTGGCTCACCTGGACAGTCGTATTGCAACTGTAGAAGGTTTATGCAGCAAGCTGGAGCCCATCTCTAATCATCTTGAGCGGATCAAAGATGGCCTTAACAAACATGTCACCAGTTTGTGGACTTGTGTGAATCAGCTTAACAGCACAGTGGGGTCCCAGAGCAGTGACATAGGCCAGCTGAGAGGAACCTGTCAGAATCTAGAGACCTATCTGTCCCAAGTCACCAAAGATCTTCAGTCATTCTCAACCAGCCGTCCCACGGAGACAGGTATATCATACACGACATATTCAGATGCTATTATAATAACTATCACCTAAATCTAAAGGTGCACTATACCTTTAGGGGGTATGTCACCTGCTCAAATTGATGGAGATGTTATTGCTCTGCCTGTAATGTTCCACAATATGGCATTAAATGCATCTACCTTGCATTTTGTCAATCACTGCGGTTTATATTGCTCAAAAACACCTTGGAAATAGATGCATTCTGTAAGTGGGCTTCCCTCTCCACAGATTTGACCTGTAACATTGTTGGTATGACCTGCTTGTGTCGAGTTAATTATAGTGTTATACTGTGGAACATTAAAGGCCCTGTATTATACTATTTACTTATCTATGTAATAATGTTGTTCACTCATCAGAAACATCCCCCTAGGACCTCTGAGTTCTTTTCTCAATTAGAAAACACCTCGCCACCATCGCCATCTTTTCTATCTTGTGATGTCATGTGGTAATACAAGATGTGCTCCACTGTATATATTTTAACTTTATACAGCTTCCCTAGAATTATTTTAGATCATTTCAGCCTTGGAATTGCCAATCTCTACTGAAGAAAAGGTCAAAGATGGCTGTTAACTTGAAAACTACTGCTTCATTACATCATAAGGTAGAACAGAACATTTTCAGGTTTGGAGATGCAGCATTACTTAAACATGTGTGAATGAATTAATACACAACTCCTGGTATGTTTTTGTTGAGGTAACAGCATTATAACATGGCTAAGCTCACAAGATTCAATTTTCCATAATATAGGATGCAACACTGGTGAAGCAAATAACATTTACATGGAGACAAGCAGGTGACTTACCCTCAAGTAGAAAAATTACACAGTGCATTTTTACGTTTTGTTATTAGACAGAATAAGAAATACTTTTGATTTAGCCATGTTCACTGAGTCTAAAAAGCAGATTGAAGACACATGGTTTGATTTTCATTTTCCTCACTTGTATCGTTGAGCAATGTTTTGGCTTGGAGAAACGTTAGTCATTTTGGAATCATGTGGACAAGGCATATTATGCACGTGATTTTGGACATCACATGAGAGCTACAAGGATTTTTCAGTGGCATTGTCGATATAATGGAGCATAGTACATTGAATGCTAGGGACTGCATTCTTAGTGCATGAGTCTCGTCCATAATGATGCCACCGAGACTTTGCTAAGTTGAGAAAGTGAACGCCCTCACTGTTTACAGCTGGGATCTATCCTGTCCAACAGCCTCTGCTTGTCTTGTATTGCTCTTTATGGGGCAGGTGACGGAGCATATGGTAGGCCTGTCACAATATTTTGAAGTATGATATATTGCTGAAGAACATATAGATGATAAACAATAGTATTGAAACAAATTTATGCCACTGACACAATGACCCAAAAACAGGATAATCCCTACACAAAACTTTTATAATGTACAATATGGTTAAAAATCACAAAGTGCAATAAATAAATAAATAGCAGAATGAAACACTGTAATAGTTAGTTTGTGTCTATAAGGAGTCATAGAAGTTATTTTTACAACCCTCTACAGCTCAAATCTTCTCAGAAAAATAAGAAAAAGTTTGCCGCCAGTACCAAAAAAGTCCCCATGATAAATACCTCCCAAAAATAATTGCTCCATCTAAAATATATTGAATGAAAACTCGATAAAGTAACTATCGTGACAGGCCTAGCATATGGGTAGACATTTAAATGCATGAACTATGTTTTGCTTAGGCTATAGAATTTTAATGCCAAGAGTTGATATGGATAGACCCGTCCTATTCCATTGTCAACACTCCTATTGTTTACGCTTATCTAAAGACACTGGAAAATTCAGTCCATTACAGAGACAAGTTAAGGCAGCTTATCACTGCTGCACTCACTAGAGCTCCTTTTTTAGATTCAAGAGCCTTGTTTATATTCACACTAATGCTCTTAAACTCTTTGTCTCCCACTGTTTATAACTCTTTCAAGATACTCCTTTAGCCACGTTGGTTAATTTCACGTAAATTCAGAGTTTTGTTGGCTGAGCTGGTATTTCAGATAAACTCCAAAAACATGTAAAGCTTAGGGGCCATTTGTCATTGTGTTTGCTATGATGTCATACCAGTAGTTAACCTCAAAGGAAGAGGTGAAGGGAAAAAAACCCAAAAGTTTTGTATTCCCAGTACTGACTAAATCTTTCCGTTACAATGCTCTTTTTTAGCATTCATTGTTTGTGTTTTCAAGCTCACTGTGTAAATGAGCACTAGGGAGTTTTTTTCCCCCTGTGAACAAAATAAAAAAAAAAGTATGATCATATTTTGGTCACTAACATTTTGTAGAAGAGGCGTGCACATTTTTTGAATTAGAGAATCTTGCACGCCAATTGTATTATGTTCCCCTGATAATCGATTAACTAAGCAGCTTTACTGGATAAGCTCACAAGTGATTATTCATTGTGTTGAATCACTGCGTGAGCTACTTTTGTAGCTACAAATGTCCTGAGGCTGATTAGGCAGAGGGATGCCTGCCATTCTTTGACTATTGTCTCTCCCAACCACCAGTAATTAGTCACTTAACACAGGGAAAGTGGGTAAAATGTCTTAAGGCTTAATAACCCATCCAAATATGAACCACCCAATACTTGGTCAGAGATAATGACTGATATGTGTTGTGTGGCTTCATGTTTTTATATGAATCCATTGCTATGATTCAAGAGGGTGACTCATGGCCCACAGTAAATGGGACTCTTCTATAATATGGAAAGTGTCCCAAAGCAATGTGTACAAACTGTTGACTGTGGTAACTAGCTGCAGCTGGGTGGTGCTGTGAGCAGCCCATGTAAGATACAATGCTTGTGTCTTACTTGCTTTGAATGCAACTCATCTCTTCAGTCTTCATAACGCTCTTGTATTCAAACTTCCACCCTGGGCTTGGCACAAACCCTGCACATACCCTTTTTTATATGAAGGACACTGAGGGTAGAAGCAAATGCAGACCTGTAACACATGTGCAGTGCAGCAGACCTGTCTGCTCTGCACTTTTATAGGCCCCCACCAGCCCCCTCACTCAGCATGTTCATTTTAATAGGCTCACTCTTTTAGCCAAACTAGTACATGGCCATATTGCAGGTGGCCATGCTTTAGTATTGTGATATGTGGTAAGAGCATGTTTAGGCCCTGTGTGGGAAGTTGTACAGACCCCGAGCCAGTGGGATAGACTTGTTGATAAATTCCAGGGTTTATCTCAGCCGTAGTTCCTGAGAATGCAATGGCACGTGTAGTTAAGAGATCATCACTGTTTGATTGGTCTCAGGAGGAACTGCTATTTTCTCCCATGTAATGACAGGCACCTTAGTCGCTCACAGTTTTGCTGCTATGAACTATTGAAGAAAGTCAGTGAGGTAGCAGAAATACAAACACAGCTGCATATATCTTGACTGGTTGCATAAGCGCTAATACTGTTAGTCAGGGAATATACTGGTTATAAAAAAAACACAAGGTTTCCCTCAAGAGACATACTTTAGCACAGTACCATTGTTTTGACTTGAAACGCTATATTAATTCACCTAATATGCATGCTTTTCAAAATGAAAGCTATACTTGAAGGTACACTATGTAACTCTTTATTGTGCTTATTGCTTTGCCTGGAATAGTCCACAATATGGCATTCTCTTGCTTATATTCAGTTGAATGTGTTTGTAATGCTACAAAAATGCCCTGAAAACATGTATTCTTACTGTGAACAAGGGCAATTACTTAAAAGATCTAATCTGTAAATGTGCCTAGTGGCCTCACCTACTTGTCTCTTTGGAGATACATTTAAAACAATAACATGTAAAGAAAAACAAGTAGGGGGCAGACCCTACATGAAAAAAATTCACAAAGAAAAGGCCTCTCAACTGGATGATAATTGTGGTCTTTGACTTGTGCTTGGGCAAATTTGCAATAAAAAAGCTGGTTTGTTTGTTTGGCTGCTTTTTTTTTTTTTTATCTCACTGACCTGCAGCCTAATAGCTCATTTCTTATTTCACACCTGTCTCTACTAACCATTTCAGCTGATGATGCTGCAGAACCTCCCAAGGCAGGACCCCCCCTGGCAGGACCTCCCCTGGCAGAACCCCCCCAGGCAGGAGCTCCTCCGGCTGGCCCTAAAATGACTGTGATTGAGTCTGGTGAGGCTGGACCCCCTGGCAAAATGATCTCATCCAAGTTACCCCGGGGTGCAGATGGGAGCATGGCACCTGTTCAAGGCTATGCAGGGGCCCCAGGTAACACCTGTTCCCACACTATCCTAGTTAAAACATCTGCACATTCTCAAGGATGTTTGTGTTTATTTTATAGCCTCTCCAGATAAATCTAGTGAGACATTAAAGCCAGGCCAGCCAGTGGTTTCAGGTATGTAACATTATGCTAAATCTATAGGTCCAAAGTGTATTTTTATCTGTTTGTACACTATCTAGGAGTCAGTTTTTAAACTAGCTGCAAAACCCCCTTTAAAAAAAAAAAAAAAAAAAAAGTTCATTCAGAATGTGTTGGTCTTTTTAACTCTTGAAATGTGTTATTTCATTTTTTTTTTATCCATATATTTGAAAAGGCAATATAAAGATATGAAAGAGGCAAATGAATAAATATTCTGAAATTTCACTCTTATATTTGGTTAAATTCAGAAAGTTCATACTTATATTTGGTTAAATGTTCTGTTTAATGCAGAGTTGCACTAATTTCTGAATTTAAAAAGCAAATTCTCCCAGGGGTCAGATCAAAATGAAATTTTTATCGTCATACCTCCCAGCCCTGAGTATACATCAGTTTCATGCACAATGTCGTCCGTCTGATTCTCTGTCCTCTGTGTAATTGTTTGTTTATTTTTTCAGAAGAGAAGATTGCATTCTCTGTTGGCCTAACTCTCTTACGTGTTCTGGGAGACGCTGGTACTATTCGGTTTAACAAAGTGTTGGTCAATGATGGAGGAAACTATGACCCACACACAGGTATCCCTCAATGTCTCCACACTTAACATTGGCTCCACAGAGTTCATCTTCACTCATAGATATTCTCCTAACCTGCCCTAGGTATCTTCACAGCTCCCATGGGTGGCCGTTACCTGGTGAGCGCTGTGCTTGCCCCCCAGCGAGGTGACAAAGTGGAGGCTGTCCTGTCTGTGTCCAACCACAGCATTCAGAAACTGGACTCCTCAGGGTTCTTCTTTGGAACCACACAGCCACATGGACAGTGTAACTGCAGTAGTGTGGCCTCCCTCAGCCTGGTCCTACCTCTCAAACAAGGAGACCGGGTCGGACTCCAACTGACTTCTGGCAAACTGGCCACTTCAGCCTCATCTGAGATCCTGTCCTCTTTTAGTGCTGTGCTGCTCTATGCCACTCCAGTCATACACTAGCTATGTGCAACCTATCAACATGTGTGACTTTGTGGAAGGTTTTAATAGTTTACATTTGATTTGATTGTATAAAATGCAGCAACTATAATTATTATTTGTAATGGTGATGCCCACAGCGTAGTGACAGAACTACAGGTAGTGTTTAGCTGTGGCAAGGCAACCTGTGAGGTTATACAGAAATAACACATTTTAGCATTAGCATTAAAATTCTCACTCACCATGGTTTAATTCTTCAATGTTCACTATATCAGGTAGTTCTCATGGTATATAATATTTATTTTCACCTTTACAGACAGCCTCAAATCCAGTATGCATCTCAGTGGTAAAAATCTCCCTGAGCACAGCTTCATACTACCCTTACATAATATACATACATAAATGTTCAGCACTGTTGGTTATTCTCTAATTTGTTTGAGAATACCCTTACTCATCAGTGCAGAAACAATTTTATTAACCAGTAAACATATTTGTATGAAGTACTGACAAAATACTGATGTTAAGATTCTTAATATTGAAATTAAACTTCTTAATGTTAAAATTGCAGTCACAATTAGCAGATTGCAGAGACCTGCAACATTGTTGAGCTTTATGATTAACAAAACGCGGCAGCATTTTCTCCATTTAAATTATCATTGAAAAAAATATGTGAGTTCTTCACATAAAATTTCACTTTCATAGAAAGAATATATTTTATACTAATGTGAAGTAAATTAGCTTTAAGACAAAGGCTGAAGCAAAATAAATCATATCACTGGTAAAATCTAATGCAAATACAAAATATAAGACATTCTTAAACTATTTTCCAGTGTCCCTACAGGGACTATAGCAGCAGTATCTCTTTATCTGTCAGACTTAACACTGCATCAACCTCATGAGAACAGCATAATAATTAAGGCCTGAAAATATACAGCTTCTACCTTCTTTATAAATGCAAAAATCTATAGTTTAATGTGTGTGTGCTGATACTAACATGTAACACCTAACATTATTTACTAAAGTGCATAATAACTTCATGCATAAGCATGCGCATATGTTGGGCTGTGTCAAAAATGCATAGCAACATGTCAAATTCACTTATGCTCAAGGGATTACCATTAGTTCTGCTTTAAGGATGTATGCAACCCCAAAAAAATGTTATCACTCCAAAAAAAATGATACTGTATTCCTGTATTCCTGTATCCTGTAGGCAATCCCAGCTGTCCGGTGTGATAATCCAGTGTACATACTACAGTGTTTAATAGCCAAACTCGTCAAAGCACACTGGGGGAATGGGCTGCCTCCAGAAGCAGAAGGAGCTGAACTCTGGGCAGCAGAAGGTGGCGTTATGTTGTGTGTTTCTTAAAGGGAATACATGCTCCACCAGCTCACTCAGGCGACTGTATCTAAAGTGGAAAGAGTTGAACAATAAGACCTTGTCTGTCTGAGACACACACACACACAGTGGTTAGTGGTGTGATACTTACGATGTTTTATTGCCTTTGGCCAGCTCCAGGATCAACTCCCCTTTTGGATTCACTGTAAAGATCCGGCTCACAGGCACACCCACTTTCTTGTAGGCAAACACATCCTTAAGACAGAAAAGAAAAACAATAGTTCAAAACAATAATTGCATTTGAATATAGAGTTTACGTAAAATAAAAAGACAAACACTTACATTGTCTCTGTTTCCAAAAGCTGCGTAGAAGGGATGAGTGTTTGGGGAAAACAGATTCTTAATGTCTGTCAGACATTCAATTTTGAACTTTTCTGGCTTTTTTTCAATGACTTCTCTATTAAAAGAATCAAAAATGTTTTGCTTAACTTGTAAGAGTACTCTTTGAAGTGTACACAATTTATTGGTTATCTCAGCTGTGCTGTGGCTCTCAGGAGACCCACCTGTGGAAGGCAGAGAAAAGGCTGCTCGGGGAGAGCATGAGGGGCCCTTGAGGCAGGAGAGTCCCTCTATCATTCACCCAATGTAAATATCCTCGAGTCATGTCTGCCATGCCAATGGCCCGCGCTGAGCAGTACAAAAACTTATAACCGTTCCTTTGGAGGAGAGACATTCATTATGTGAACTTACCATTTGACCCCATGATTTATGAATCCAAACAACATTCTACACCATGTAAGTCTTACTCATGCACTGAGTTGTAGAGTTTAGCAATGCCCTGATGAGTCCAGTCTTTCCCCAGGTGGGGAAGGATGTGTCCAAACACATCTGATCTGGAGGTATCCAACATGTTAAGAATGCATTTAAGCATCAAATATGTATTCATGTAAAAAAGAAATTGTTTACTTTGTGATTGTGCCATCAATGTCTGAGATGATGACCTTGTCGTCCCAGTTCCACAGGTAGATGGTACCCTCACACCGACATGTGCCCTGGTACTGGGTGGTTATACTGAAGGAGACATCATTAGGCCCCTCTCTCAGCTTTAAACCACTCTGCAAGAAGCACACAGTGTCCTTTTGTTATAGTTGTCATTACTGAAAATAGTCTAATATTATAATGTGCTGTTTTTTACTATTTGTTCAGAGGACAAGCGGAGCGACTTCTTAAAGGAGGGACATGAGGATGGTGCCACAGACTCACTCTGCACACGCTCAGAAGGAGTCAAAGCAGGAGCCACAGTATTGAGCTCTTTAGTCTCATCATCACTGGACCACTCTGTCGTTTTGGATCTGTATGGATAAAAGTACAACTAAGCAGGCTGTTGGGATTGTTGATGACATGCACCACACAGTTCCTGTGAGTGTGTTGCCTTAATAAAGGCCACGACTTTTGATCTGTTATAAAAGTATAGTGCTGTGAGTGACTCATACTCAGTGCAGGAAACACAGTCTCCATCAGAAAAGGGGTAGGACACAAGTGCAACTAAGTAGGCTGTTGGGATTGTTGATGATGAGCACCACACTGATTATGTGGTGTGGGTATATACAGTACACAGTAACCACTAGAGGGCAACAGATTCCCTTTTAGAATATTACAGATTTTGAAATACATGATGTAGTATGTGAGCCAATATGTTTCAAATGATTATTACTCTATGCAGAACCTTTCTGCAGTGCTTCATACCGGTGGTGTACATCCAAAATGAGTGCGTAGTATACAGAGTAATATGTAAACTCACCCTGTGTGTTTAGCCAACAGTGTGTGTGTGTGTTATTGTGCCTCTGTGTAGTCTTGTGTCTGCTGACTCACTGTGTTTCTGGGGCCGGCTGAAGGGCCAGGCTCTCACTGGTCAACGACTCTTGCCTTTCTAATTTGGGTTCTGTTGACAACTAATGATAAAAGACAATTATTAATTTTGTTCATATTCTATTGCTTTTAAAAGTCAAAAATGCAAAACAAGTGGTCAGAAACCATGTTTGACTTGATTTGTAATGCAAAGTCCCACCTGCTTTACAATACTCTTTCTCCAAAACCACCAGCGCCCTGATTTTTTAGGCATTTTCTCCTTCACCCACACCTCTTCTGTAGCCTGCCATTCAAAACAAACATGATTCACTTTATTCTCAAAAATACTTACAACCTAGATGGTGGCAATACCTTTGGCAAGTTCTTCTGGAAAGCCTGCATACTGAGTATCAATGGGGCTGCCAGTGTCCAATTATAGTATCTGCAAAATAAGTCTCTGTTCAGGTTTAATGTTTCAAAGGATATAATGAAAAAACATTTCTTAATCACCTGTTTGCAATTTTAACCACCAAATTTGGATTGTCAATAATTGCTGGGTTCTCTGCAAACTCATTGTAGGTGATGATGTGCTCCATGAATTTTTCTGCATTACAGGGTGTTACAAGTGTTACACATGGAACATTTGCTTTATCATATAAAGCTCACTGATTACCTTTGGAAATCTCTGAGTTCTCCCCAATGCCACCGCAGAGGGATAGTGTGACATCAGGCAGGTCTCCAGCTGAATCAGACAGACATTCAGTGCCACTGTCTGCAGCTGCACTGCCAACTGACTGAGGGGACTGAGACCCTGAGCGTCTGCCCCCCTCCACCCAGTGCTTAGGCACTTGCTCCGACTCACTGCAACATAGCACAGGTGAGCTCTGCAGCCATGTACAGCTAACAACTTGCATAGGCTAAAGTATTCTGTTTGACACAATGACTAATTTAGACCACTGGCTGTTTATACCTTTTAGGAAAATACAGGGCCAAGACATCAGGATCAAGTTTATTCAAGTCATCCAGATAGATGTCTTCTGGTCCCTGATGCTGACTGCGTTTTCTCACTCCTAATGAAACACAAGGAAACACAAGTGTAAATGTGAAGTCAGTGCTCAGTATATCTGTCTGCAGAGCAGACAAACTTCTTGAACCACATCCTTCCCTTTCTTGCTCTGATAGTAGTTTCATTTATAAAAAGCATAAACCTGAGCACACACTACTCTCTGTATAAATAGTATGTATTATGCTACCTTTCCTCTTTACTGGTGAGTCTGTAGGGGAGGACTTTGGGCCAGGGCTTATGGGAGCAGCAGAGTCTCCTGTCGTATTCAGGCCTCCGCTGTTCTTGCGACTGGGGGGAGAGGAGGTCCAGCGTGTCTTGCGCACAGTTTTGGAATGGCTATCAGAGTTAGCAGGAAACTCTTTTGAACTTAAGCTTGTAGGTGTGCCACAGAAATTCTCAGGCACTGATGAAGTATTATGCAGCTGGCATGGTTTAGCGGTCCGAGGCTCTGGTTTCACAATATTGCACATGTTGTTTGAGGGCATCTCAGTTCCTCTTGTCTCCTCCTCCATGGCCTCAGAGCTCAGGATCACTCGGAAATGCGTGTATTCTGAGGGAGTTATAGTCAGTGGTTTGGGCTCTGGCTTTCCGCCCTTCTTGTTCTGCACAGAAGAACAAACAAAAACGTTGTATAAACATGAATCTACCTGCCTGTCTTGTTTCTGTTGCACTTACTCGGCTGGGCTCCGGAAACTCCCCCCAGGACCACTGCATATGCGCGTCTGCTCGGAGCAGGTTTTCTGTGGGCTTCACCATGAGCTCCGAGTCACTCTTCGGGGACATTGGCTCGGACATGTCCCTGCTGTAAACACATTAGCACTTAGTCAGCATTTGTGGGAGTGAGCCGCCTTAATAAAGCCATGACTTTTGTTCTCTGTTATGAAAGTGTAGTGCTGTAAGTCACCCGTACTCAGTGCAGGGAACCCAATCTCCATCAGAAAAGGGGTAGCTGTCCCATTCAAGCCCAGTGAGCGGGGTGTGCTGCCTGTACTCTACATTATCCTTTATTACGGACAGTGAAGAAGTCCTGAGAACAAGAAGTACACAAGAAATAATATAACATCAGCTGAAAGGAAGTGAATAAGCAAATAATGTTTTTACCGTCCATTGTGTGAGTTGCAATCTTCGTCTGAGCTGAGGTCTCCCAGTTCCAGCTCGACTGCAGGGCTGGTCTCCTCTTTGCGCAGCTCAGCCTTGTGCTTCCTCCGGCGTCTCTTCTTTTTCTTGCCCACAGAGTTAGAGAAGGACGGGGGGTTTTCACAGGAGGCTTCAGGACCAAGAGGCCCACTGCCCTCTGCCCCCATGCTTCCACATCTGGGCTCTCTGCTCCTCAACAGAGCCTCTTCTGTGGGGATTGGGGAGGTCACCAGGTGGGCCGGGACAACCTCCTTAGTAAGATAAATTAAAGGAGGCATATTATGCAAAATTGACTCCTCATCATTATCATACTCAACATTGTATTTAACTGTGTATTTTCCTGCAGTCATGGGGTGAGTGCTCTCAAAATCTCAGTTGACCTCCTATTAGTTCTCTACTTATTTTTTATGAGTAAGAAGTATAGACAAAGATAACACATAAATTAAAATCTGCTGCTTGTCATGCTGAATTGCCACTTTAAAGAGGTGGAGTAATTTTCCATGGAACGTAAATGGACCCATTTCTATTATTTAAGCTGTTTAAAGTCAGTATTACAAGTACTTGGGAAAACATAAATATGCATAATATGTCTTCTTTAAAACTATTAACTGGAACATTCTCTATTTACTCATAATGTATTTTACAGAGCTCACATTTTGCTGTTCCATCTCTTGAACAAAAAAGGCCTCTCCATTGTCTCCAAGTTTCATGTGAAGCTCCACAGGTTCCCCATTTATTTCTATGTCGATCTGCAAAGCAAGCAAGATTTCTTTATAAACACATTGTAAATGCTGAGTCTGCATTAGCTGTGAATCAGGTCATGGTGCATGAGTTGGCTGGCATGAAGATTAGACTTCTATAATGAGGTGTGCTTATGGCCAAATGGAACAAAGTGTGTGTTTATAAGGGGGCAATGGAAAGAAGTAGGCCATAGATTTATCTAAATCACAAAAAGAAATGCACTTCAGGTCAAACACATTTAAGCTTTTGTTTCATACTAAAACACAAACTAGAAAGTAGTGAAGTACCACTATATCTTGAACAGTAGTATTTCTCAGTATTTCTCTCAGTTCACAGACAGTGCTTAGTGTAAACAACCGCAGTCTACTTCCTGCCCATGAGGACTTCCTCTCTCTCTCTCTCTCTCTCTCTCTCTTTCTCTCTCTCTATATATATATATATATATATATATATATATATATATATATATATATATATATATATATATATATATACATATAAACTTCTTCAATCTGTAGCACAGGGAACAATGAGCCTAATTAAAGTTTTTTTTTGTGTGTATGTCTGCTCTGGAGTGGTTGAAAAGACAAAAAAAAAAACTTGCTGGTCATTTCTAAATATTACTTACATTAATTCTGGTATTAAACTTCTGGTATTAAACTTATCCATCTTGCATTTTTTCAAATACAGGTATTTTAATTGCCCAAAACGTGCATGCATATTTACTCCAGCTGGTGTTGCTGGCTTGTCTCCAAGTAGATATATAGGTTTAATGCAATGCAATAAAATATCCATGGAGACAAGAAAGTGGCAGACCCTCCATCAGAAAAGCTACACAGGACACCTTTCTGTAGTCATCCAAATAACAACAAAAGATAGCAACAATTAAAATATAATGACATCACAAGTACCATAAGTATCTAAATTTATTAAAATGATCAATACCCAGATACTGATTGATACTAGTTGTTGTTTCAGAAGTAACATGGAAAAATAATCCGTTCATTAATTTATGACATAATTTGAGACTCACCACTTTCTCCCTGGAGCGCAGCACCCCCAGTTTTCCGAAGCGGACGTGGAATGGGGAGCACTGGAAGGTCCCATCGGGCTGCCGCACCACAATAACGTCGATGCAGCCTGACAGAGTGGCCTGGTTTATACCCTTGTACAGCTCCTTGACAGTGACCAGCACCTGCCCTGCCAGCTGACCTACATAGTTCATGGTGTCCACCTGCCCAACAGTCAAAAAACATCACAAGTTTGATTTCAATATTACAAAAAGTACTCTCTACTGATTTTGATAATACAATGAAAAAATATATATATTTGGGATTAAAAATACAATCTATTATCTTAAAACATATATAACAATTGATATCAAGTACAGAGCTTTTTCCTTAGTATTGAAATCAACTTTAGTATCTTAACACAACACTACATTGAATTCTGTTGTTTACACAGTCATTGTAATAGTAAGAAATAGTAAAAATTTGATTGAAATATCTTGGTGAATTGAGCTCATCATTTAATATAACTCAGGAGCACATCACTCACACATCATACTTTTATGAGGCCACTGGTCCCTGAACGCAGCGCAACTGTCCCATTTTCCTTTTAAAAGTCCTGGATTGAGTTTAATCTGGGCAACATGCTAAATGTCTGCTTTAGACCAGAGCCAAGTGGACAGCCTGCATAACATGAACCAGGACAACATTGTAATGAAAATTTGAATCAAACAAGAATTTTATTTGAATGTGCTTCTCTCACACAGTTTGACACATCTATTTCAATGGAGGGAGAGAACAGATTCAACAAAAATAATAAAAAAACAAATAGAGTGACTTTATATTAAACTAATATTAATGTTATGTGTTTACACAACTTTAGTATTGGTTGAGTATAAAGACAAGACCCTGCCCAACCAGTTTTTCAGTTCCTCCAAGTCCACAATTAAGAAATGAACATCTTTGGTTGGGTAATAATAAAAGTTGGCATTATTTACTATATAATGAGCACACAAACACACACATGCTCATATACCATTTTACAGAGACACTGAAGGCAAGGTGAAAGTGTCTTACCCAAATGACTATATGCACTAACGCAGGGATCTCCAACCTTGTGCGTCCAGTGAGCTACCTTTACAAAATGAAAATGCAGGAGAGCTACTCATTTTAGTGGAAATTGATTTGGTATGAGAGGCAAGCCTTAGATGTACAATTAGATGCCTATAAAACTTTAAACCATTATCCATTTATTAGTGCACAAAGGTCAAAATAACACATTTACAGTGATAATTACACAAATTTGAGTTATTTACTAAAATATGTATAATTCAGAAATCCTTTGGTGAGCTACTTGTATGGGGGTGGAGAGCTACTGGTAGCTCCTGAGCTACAGGTTGGAGACCCCTGCATTAACCACTAAACAAAATGTTACTGACCTGATCCAACCTAGGTTACCTTCCAAGAGCTAGACTATGCATTATTTTATTTAGTATGTTCATTATTTACCTATAATTCATGCACGCAAAATGTGGATTGAGAAAATTTCACTAACAAATTTAGTCTTATTAGTGGATTTAGAGGATTTTGCAACCGAGTGCTTAGATGTGCCATGCTTATTGTTCCCAGGGCACGAATATTCACTTCAGTATTATTACTGTAAGATTTGTTAAAACATTTGTTAATTTGTCACAGATTATTAATGATCATGTTAATATATTTTATTCATTGATTAGATTAGATGAGTTTTGTAGCACTCACCAGCCTCCAGGGGGACTTGCCATCCTGCTCTACAGCCCTGCTCCCTGCCTGCTTCATCACCAGAGCTTTGCTACTAAGACACTCACCTCATCTACATTTACTGTAAGTGTAAGTGCCATTCACAGCTAGTGTTCTATCACTAGACACAAAGACCAGGAGGAAAAGTACCCCAGCCCTAAAACCCTTATGTAACCTGCTTTGTGCTAGACCCTCCGCACCCCGGGCCAGTCTCTCAAGGCTCAACACACGCACACACAAACACACAAAATCACTGTAAATTATCTGGATTGCAATGTACCATGTTTACAGATTTAGATCAACCCACAAGCCCCTATCTTCTCATAGAAAGTGTCACATACTTAAAGGTTAGGTTATTTCTGTAGATGCCAAAATCACAGTAGCAGTTGCCTCATCACAGGGCTTCTCAAAATGGTTGATTTATCCAACAGAAAGTTTTAAAATCAATCAGTGAAACAGTCAAATACTTTCATATTAACAGAACTGTATATGCAAGCCAAATAAAGATAAATAAAATAAAGAAGAATGTTCCTATTATTTTATGCTTTTTTCACATGTGCTCATAAAGGTATCTACAGTATAAAGGTTTACAGCAAAGGAAAGTCAAAGAGGTCAGCTGTTCCTGGACACACTCTCATTAATTTGTTTACTATAGCAAATTGAACAAGAGACATTACACATGAAATGTAACAGGACTAAGTGTAAAATAATATGAGTTTGTATTTTATATTTAACCTTCTAAGCCTTTATAAATTGAGAAAATATTCCAATAATACTCTTTTAGAAGATCACCATTTAGACGTACCATCTATAGTGTTCTCGTCTCATGCCAAGTGTGCTCATTTTATCCCTGATTAGTTTAATAAAATAGTCAAACAATTTATAATGTGATTTGTTGTAATGAAACAAAAGTTGGTTACATTTGTCAAATTAAGTATCTAACAATGGAAATAGCTCATGTTACAGTATGGCTCACACCACCAAGTCCTGAGTCACACTCTGGATCTGTGTATGGGCCCTTAAGAGGTGATAATCCTGTTTACCAGATTAGTACTAGGCTTTCTCCAGCTTTCCCCTCACCAGACACAAGTAGACACCCCACAGCAGCCGCTACTGGAACTGAAACCAATTATTATTTTTTTGTATTTCCCTTTTTATCTTTATTTTAAACAGCTTAAAAATGATTTTAAAATGCCTACACATTTAGAATCACTAATTCAAACGTCACAAATAATATATTTTTAGATTTGTAGGTTTGTAGTAGATTGTCACAATAGACCACTTCGGATTTGAATGTAAATAATTCCCAGTATCAAAATACATTGCATTTAGATAAGAAGTAATAAACATGATTGTGTAGCCATAAAGCCAGTGGTGCATTTGAGGACAAGGATTTTATAGTAGCATATGTAAGATGTAGCACAGTAAGCCTTAAAAAGCACTAAATATTTTACAGTCACATCTGGCAATATAAAGTAGTTATGATAAGTGACAGCGTTAAGTGTAACAAGAAATTACAATACTATTACGCGCAAAGAACCATAACTTTGAAATCTTCAGTGGACAAGATTATCAGATGAATCTAAAACAAAACTACATGTTAAAGTTAAAATGACTTAGCGTTGTTCGTACCTGTAAAAGAGGGTCGTCATTGGCAGGCATCCATGTGCTCACTCGGCCCACATGCACCTGCTGTCAAGGAGAGGAGAGAGGGGAGAAGAGAGCCAGCGGCAGTGGAGAGGAGCGCACCACGTGACTCTCAACGTGCACGTGATTTACGCGCAAGGACAAGAACAAACTTTATGGTAAATATTACAACAACAAAAAAATAAAAATAAATAATAATAATAATAATAATAATAATAATAATAATAATAATAATAATAATAATAATATAATAATAACAATAACAACAATATTGTTATTATTATGATTATTATTATTATTATTATTATTATTATTATTATTATTATTATTATTATTATTGTCGTCTGTCTCAGCTTTGTAAATTGTTGCCATGTTTTACTTAATAGCAGTTCCTGTGGCTAGGTAAGCTTTTTGGGGTTTGGCAGAAAACATCTCTTAAACTAAAAAAGGCAAATAACTAGATAAACAATTTGTACTTTAACTTGCCTAAATAGTCACGTTTCATTTGTAAACGAAAAACAAACTAATGTGGCTGCCCTCTAGTGGTACTGGTTACGCATTTATTTCATAATGTAAGAAGCTAACAATATTTTTTATCCAAGCTTTGTGGTAGTTGTGCTCTGTTTAGCTAGTTGTGCATTTTGTATTCTTTATTTGTGATTGTCTACCAGTGGCATTCAAATTATAAAGCTATATACCACCTTGTGAAACAGTAGCCTAAATAGTTTAGTTATCATGAGATATATTTTAGATTGTTCAAAGGTTGTCCGCATACGGCCTCTCTCACCTTTGCACTGATTCAACTCAATTAATTCTGCTCAGTTTGTTCCCAAGAATTTCTCGGGTTGGCAGTTCTTTCTGTCCCTACCCAAACAATGAAGACACAATGAAGATGTAGTCGTAAGTAAGATAAAACTTTAATTTACTGAAGGTAGTTAGTTGGGCTGTGTGAATTTGCAAGCTATTTGACTGTTGAAAAAGCATTACAGATAGTAACGTGATGACAGACAGTGTAAAACAAAAACTGGTTTATTATATATTGTAAATATCACACAAGCACACTTTTTGATTATAATTTTGCAGTCAATAATTGTTTTTATTCTGTGTTATCAGGTCAATCCTCCTGCTCCTTGGCGTCCTACTCTTTGTGTACAGTCTGGTCAGCTGTCACCACATGGTCATCTTCAGGAGCAGCTTCAGCCTCTGCTAAATCTAATCTTTTTTGTTCCCATGTGGCATTCCCTGTTAACGCCGGCATGTCTTTCACCTCTTCCTCCTTCTTTTCTTGAGCCAATGTTTCACAGTCTGTAAAAAAGGAGCACACTCATGGTTGTGTTATTATGACCAAATAAAGTGCAGCTCTCTGTGTGATGCAATGGAAAAGATTTTGTGTCCAAATGTTGTCAAACTGGGAATCTACTGGGCCAATAAAATATGTTTTGACTAATGCATCTAGATTTATTGAGTACTTTCACTACCTCTTACTAGTTTCAAGTTTGTTTTACTTGAACCTAAATGATCAAGGCCCCCTACATAAGGAGCAACATCTTACACAACCCTCAGTCTCAGTTTTTATCTATCTACTAGAAACAAAATAAAGTATTTTCAAAACTAATTAACAACCACTAAGTATATCAAATTAAATTTAACATTACCAAATGCCAAATATTCCTTTTTGTAGCTGTGCTTGGCTTCTTAGGTTTCTTTAAAAGTTTTGTTTACTGCATTACATTCATGCCATGCCAAAGAAAAATATTTTTTTCTAAGTATAACAGCTATGAAAATCCAACCATTTACTTACCCTCTGGCTCTTGTGTTTTCGCTCCAATGTACGAAGTTTTCATCTTTTCCTTTGGTGTATTTGGACCAAAGACCACATTTCCATCTGCATCAGTCCAGTATGAAGTAATGCCTAAATCAGGGGTCCCTTCTACAACCTCCAACTGACAGCAAATGAAACAGTTAGATCACATTTTTCATAAAAATTTGCAACAGCCAACACATTACAAATAATACTTACCATGTGAGTTAGGGCGGACCGTCCTACTAATTCACATTTCCATTCTATTACTTTTTAATTATCTACTTGATCCATGACTGAACTATTTCTATTCTATCATATACCCATTAACATGTGAACTGTATTGTATTAATAAACTAATTGTATTAGTCTTCATGCAATTACTGCCAGTGGGCATCATTTTCTCGATATATTAAAAATCAGGCTCATCAGCAGTAATTGCAAACAGGAGCAAATGTGGAGTCCTTGTGATGATTCTTGGTCTTCAACAAGTCCAAGTGTGCAGTGAAGGGAAGAGGAAGTGAGAGACGACAGAAACACACAGTGACAGTGAAGAAGGAAAAGGTGAAAACACAAAATACTCAGGAGAGGGAGGAGGTGTCAGGAAGGCACATGCTTATTTATTAGTTTCACCACCAAGGATACAGTGACATACTTGCATGAACCGTAATACAGGGCCTTTGTAACAGTGTCATTACAAATAATGATCTAATGATGAGGGAGTGTCATAATTGTAGTGAAGAACATAAAGTGAGGGTGGGAAACAACTTTCACAGTTAAAACAGGAAACATGACATCACATGACTAAGCTTTAACTTGAATTTTCGTAATTTTGTTTTTCAAAATCCGTGTTTATATCTGAGCTAAAACCAGAGGACACATTGTTGAGGTAAAATCTGCTAAAACAAAACTTACCGAATTATAATACATACAGTAACTTCTTTAATTTTCATCTGATATGTCTTATTACAATAGGCTACCTGGTTAAGGGTACATGTAGTGCGTTGTGTGAGAGATTCATTTATAAAATCTTCTGTGTTATCTCTACGCTGATTTTTTCCATCACTTAACATAAATAAATATCACTTTCTTACTGTCTACACAAACAACTTCAACATTTTCCTCTTTTTAGCCTCTTGCAGTACCTTTCATTTGTACATGTTTGCAGAGAGCATGTTACTTGCTCTTACTGGCCTGGTCTGGGATGAACACACTTACAGTGAAGTCTCCGCTCTCCGTGCCGTACTTGTTCTTCACCAGGATGCTGTACTTGCCAGAGTCTGAAATGTTCACACCAGTGATGGTGAAGCTGGCAAACTTGCCCGACTCAAACTTAAGGATGCAGTGCTCATCTGATGTGATCTCTTTGTCGTTCTTCAGCCAGGTAACCACGGGCACAGGGTCGCCAGAAATATTACAGGTTAAATTCAGGGCCTAATGGACACAAAGTAAATATGTTATTACAAAGTTTAATACAGAGTGGAGTGAGTGTTCTGTGAGACATCACCTTGCCCTCCTGAATAGTGACCACATCAGGAAGACCTCCTGCTACACGAGCACGACCTTAGAAAAAAAAACAAAAAAACATTGAAATGTGAATATATAAATATATAAAAACATTACAGACATTAACAATAACTTACTTCTCTCTGCAATAGCAGCAGCCCTAAGGAGAAAGAAACACATTAAGAGTGTACTTTTGAATGTAATATATCACACATTTGCTTTACACATACTTGAGTCTCTGGAATTCTGCAAAAGCATCGTCATACGCTGCAATGCAAGAAAACAAAAGAAGCATCAGAGACATGAGCATTTTCATCTCATCAGTACTGCTATATTAAAGGCCAGTGACAGATTTATGAGCTTGTGTGTCACAGAATGGGACCTTCAGTTGTAGCTGTCTCACCTTGTCCGCTCAGCTCCACAGTCCTCCTCAGGCCACCTTTTCCATCGTTAAACTCAATGGCGTATGTGCCCATGTCTTTTTCTGTGGGCTCTGTGATTTGTAGCCAGAGCTGTTCACCCACAACTCCACTCTTTATACGGTCAGAGAAGGCTATGGCCGAGTCTCTAAAAAAACACAGTTCATATGTCACCACAGATACATCCATCAGGGGGCAGTACTTGTATTTTTGTTCTGAATGCAG